TGTTGTCTCGATATAAGATCGTAACAGTTTCATTTTAAAAATCGTGTTTTCGTAACTCACGCCGTGCTCGCGCTGCAACGAATTGACTCTGTTTTTACCCCAGACACCTCATACAAAAAAAACGCTAATGTAACGCATATCCAGGCACCAGACTGTTGCTCATTTGCATACGTGTTCAAAAATCTTGCACATGCAAATGATCAAATACCAGGGTGAGAGAGCAGGTAATGATGGGCGCGTACTGTTCGACACCCTGGGGACGAGGTTGATCAAATGCATATTGCAAAAGATCGAATGCAAACATACCGATGAAACATCGAATACAAATAGCTCGAAATGTCAAACATATGTGTAAAACATTGCTCACATATGTGAGAATATCGCAAATATATTGTAAAACAACACACACAATTGTATCGAAAAACATCGCACATTTAATGCAAAAAAATCGAACATAATATTGAAAACATCGCACATATATATCGTCAAAACATCGCACATATAAATTGAAAATCGCATATAAATGTAAAACATCGCACACATATATTGAACATCGCACATATATTGTAAAACATCGCACAAATATATTAAACATCGCGCAAATGATGAAAAACATCGCACACTTATATTGAACATCGCACATAAATGTAAAAGATAACAAACACATAATGAACATCCAACATATGCCATCGATATAAGAAACCTCACCGCAAAAGCTCATTCCGTAACCTAATTTGGGACATGCACCCGACTCGACTAATGAACGCGAAAGAAGATGGTGTTTGTACGTGGCTGAACAGATACAGATTCAGGTCTCAAAACAATTTTTGAGTTTTAACACAAAATAATAATCCCGGGACAATCAATCCTGGGACATACCGTTATTTCGTTTTACCGTTTTGGATTTCCTCAAAAACAAAAACCGTGAACGAACCATTGACCGTTTTGTCGTTTTACAGTTTTGTAAAACGGTCAAACGGTATTAAGTCACACACACAAAAATACTTGTTGTTGTTGTTTTTAATTGTAGAAAGCGTTAAACGGTTAGTTGCTTTATTTTTAGAGTGTTGTTTTACAAAATCATGACAATGACAAAACGGTCAATAGTCTTTTCGACCATTTTTTGACTAGGTTGCAATGCACCTAGGAATGTTAATGCGTCCTTGGGATCGAGTCATTGCCTGGGCCCTCCTTACATTTTCGTTCTCACGACAGAATTTGCGAATTAGCTATTGAAGAGCCGCGTCGACTTGAACTCCAATTTCCTTCAAAATATCTGCAAATTCATCAAACTTCTTGCCATCCTGTATCCATTGTGAAAAGTAATGCCCTCCCTTGCAGTTTTCCAGCGCCATTTTTGCTTGCAACTCTTTAAGCCCCACCAACTCAGTGAATCGCATGAGAAGGGGGTCAGGGTCCGCGCCAGGAATCACACTACGCATTAATTATACCGAGGTAGCACTTCTTCGTGTAAAGCATGGTCCCCCTCCACCCCCTTGCCCACCGCCACAAAATGCACCACGGACTGTTAACCATGACACTAAAATAAAAAAAAAACAGTCTGTATTCAATATACTGACCGTTTTGCTGTTTTTCAAAGTTATTTGTGTAAAACTGTAAAAAAAAAAAAAAAAAATCGATCGTTATGTTATAATGAATTTTACTAAACTTATAAAACGGAGAAACCGTATTTATCTTAATTACGTTTGTCGTTTTATAAAACTGTAAAACGACAAAACGGTCAATGGTTCGTTTACTGTTTTTGTTTTTGAGGAAATCCAAAACGGTAAAACGAAATAACGGTATGTCCCGGGATTAAATAATGACCAACACAACCCTCTGTCACTTGTCTCGCTACATAGTGTGTTATAATCCGCAAACCTCTTCCAAACAGTTTCAGTAAAAAATCGTATATCCCCTCCCTAAAAAGTTTAGTTTTCATCCACATGTCATTTCAAAATAAGCTAGGTCTAAACGCCACTTGCCCCAAAACAAATTAGACCCGTTTGTCCGTGATGTGCGTTAGTTCTCTGCAGTTCCTGTCAAAAAGTATCTGCCAATACATATTTAATATGACTTTGAGCATGCTTTGAGGAAGTAAAACAGAATCCCGATCGTGACATGCCATTGTCAAGAAGTTTGCACGTGTGGCCTACATCAGGCTGTAGGCCATATCATTAGCATTCAAGTCTTTGGCCATTAAAATATCTTATTATAGAGGAAAAAGCCTCTTTGCCAAGATTTAGAAACTAATTACAGGGATTCCTACAGAAACCATTTAGATCTTTTGTTACCCCATAAAGCGGATTTCGCCTCCTCTTTTGAATGTTTTTGTCAAATGTCCAATTCGATTAAAGTGCAAAGTGTCAGGCTGGCCTCGTCTTAGGATTAAGCTGATCCACCTCTCCAACCGTCCCTCTCGTCTCATAGCCTTCCCGGCCTTCTAAGAATTTCCAAGCACTTCACATTATTTAACAGTCAATGGAGATTTTGTTTGCTGATCCGAAAGAACACCGTGATTTCTCAAGACAATAGAGCAGGGCCTACTTTTCCCGGCGTGTGGTCCTGGGGCCCCACACTGGGAGCGGACGGCCCTGCGAGGCACTTGAACCGCCCTGGACACTCCCACTGGCACCTCCTCCCTCTTATACTTTCAGCTTTGCTTAGCCTCCAAGGATTTCTTTTTCATAGCTCCTTTTTTTTTTTTTTTTTACAGCAAAAGATCTTTTGCAGTAATTATGAGTATTTGGCAGCAAAGTTGGATTACCTGTTTGTTGACCTTGCCAAAGTGGATGGTTATGACTTGAGGATTGACGATTTTTCGGTGAAAGATTTTCAGAGGTTTGTAAATTGAACCCCCCCCCCATCTCACTTTTGTCGAAGAAGATGCTATGCATGTCAAATCTTCGTGTTAGTCCAACAGGTATTTAATGTATATGCTAAAATACATTTCCATTTCCATTTTCGTGAGCAAAACAAAGGGTATACAACTAGTTAACACATATAAGATGAATTTTTCTTGGGAACACACTTTGTGCAACTTTCTATACTCCTCTTAAAATGTATGAAACTATTTGACATCCTTTTTTTGTTTATTGAAAAGTGCACTTATTTAAACCTTTAATTGTCCATGCTTTTCTGGACAACAAGGGCGATGTTGCTGCGATATCATTTCAGGAACACACTGTTCCGTTGTGGGGTTTTCTGTTCAAATTGTGAACCAAAAAACCTGCACATTGGAAACATTTGCGAGCCTGAAGTTTGCTCACTGGCTTATTGCCATGACGCTGACACAGCGAACTATATACCAAAAGAAAAGAAGATTGACTAAAGCAAAATATCCAAACTAGTCTGGCAATTTTTGGTGCTATTAAACCATACGCTAAACGTTGAGGTTTCTGCCTGAAATAACATCGCATTTGCTCATGAAAATGGAAATTGCATGAGCATTGAAACCAAAAGGCACCAAAATAACCTTGAAAATTAGAAAAAGAGGACATGATTTATCATTTAAATTCAGTGATAATGAATGTACAGTGGGTCTACCCGTGTATCATGGAGGAACAAGGACCTGCTCTCAGATGTAACGTCGGATGCAAGTGGTCTACATTCTGACAATAGTCTTGTTCTATGGTTCTACTTCATTGCTCTATGGTTCTACAGACTGGATTTGGTGTTCTTTCTGCTAATGCAGCTGGGACCAATTCCAGCCAGGCAAGCGCGGTCACGTGAATACCCACAAGCTTGTTGATCATGACTTGATACTACGCCAGCTACCTCCGCAGCGGTGACCGCGCTGTCAGTTTACCACGGCCCCATATGAGATTTTGGTCATTAGAACGGGTACATGCACCGACCATCGACCGAGACCTCTGGCGTTGATGATGTCACGGCCATTGGCACTGCGGGCACATAATTTTTATACATGTAGCCCTTGTAGTTGTAGGCCCTAGAAAGTCTTTTTTTCTACAAACCATGGACGACATCATCCCCGAATTACGTTGGAGCAGCAATAATGGCATTTTCATCAACTATGATCAAGGACGTCTGTAAAAAAGCTCGAACAAAGCATTTTCCCCGAAATTGTAGTCTAAACCCACAGTCAAGAGGTACATTTCTAATAAATCATATTTTAGACATACCCAGATATTAAAGCATTGAACCTTTATTTTATTCCATTACATGACAAAAAAATAGCATTTATAGGCCTATTAGACCAGAATTGCGCAAAAGGGAGAGTGTCTTATGTAAGTAAAGAACTTTGAGAACCCGGTAAAACCCATGGAAACCACAGGGAAACATAAGCCAATGATTTATGCAGTGAAAAATCCCCTAAAATTTTTCCACCAACGTAAAGTTCTGTTGACATGAGTCGATTCTGCGAAAGCAAAACGTAAGCACTAGAAACCGGAAGTACAATGTAGGCCTACTAATAGCTGATGTGAATCATGATATTGCACATGATCTCAGGAGAACGTTTATCTTTCGTCACCAATCACCGCCTAGTGTAACGGTAAGGTGACACTTTTGTTTCAAGGTAGTCGAACGTCATCGCGTAAACAAAGCATACGTGGAGGTGAACGTGTTGGTTTCTTAGCAACTGCCGAGCTATCATTCGCAGGGCTGGGACCGCGTCTTAGTTCCGCACGTACAGTACGTGCTCAGCGCGATATGTGCCTGCATTGATCCATTGCAAAAATATGACCCCCGACAAGTTTTTGGAGTCGAAACTCGATCGTACAGATTTACCTCAGGGGTCTCTGTGTGGGTACACGACGTGACCTCTTGCTCCAAAAATTCCTGGAGGGTTGACTTTGATATGTGGGGTGGATGGGTGGGTGGGATAGGATTATGTGAACGACTCGAGCCTTGTTTTGAGGAAAAACCGCAAGGGAAAACTTTGGGCACATTTTGTCCAATCAGCGGGCAAGGCACGGTGGTGTAAGTGACCGGTCATGCGTACAAGTACACGCGCTCTGTGTCAGCGGCTACTTTCGTACGTGCAAGTATACATGCACATGGTGCAAGTGCCGTACCGAAGTTATTCGTCACGTGCTTTACACATGGCATGAAGGCAAACAAACCCTACATCCATACAATGTGTACATTAGGGAATCCCATCAGCTGTATACAAAGCTCAACCGTGGAGCTCAATGGCTAGCTCTACTCACGACGAGCGACTAGACTACTGTCAGTCAGCTTAGCTAATTCCGCAAGCACATGCATAGCATGTAGAAGACTGTCAGTTGTTTGTTTGGCTGGCATCGTTGCATTCTTGGCAAACTTCTTGAGTCGGTACAACAGGAAATCGGTTATCTCAAATCCAAACACTACATGTACTTCTCAGTATTGGTGTTTCATGGATTACCCAGCACTCAGATAAGCTTGACTAATTTGTCGCAGTAGGCAGGCCCAGGCCTACTCTTCTTGTCATCTAACCAGCGACTGCCAAAACTAAGTTACAAACTCTTCAAATAGGGAAAGGTTCATCGGAAAGCTTTTTAAGAAGCACAAGCGATCATGACTGGCCGTCAAGTTCCACGGATTTTCGCCAGTGCATCTCGTCTGCGATCCTTGCGGCACCCAGCCAGCACAATGGCCGTGCCCCGGGAGCGCTCAGCCCCACAACAGATGGAAGAGACACGCTCGGATAGGAGCACCGTGCAGATGCACCAACTCAACAAAGTCGTCGTGGACATGCCGAGTGGAAACCCCAACGAACCCACCGACTCCACTGTGAATTCAGTGGCTGAGTCATGGGGGACTTGCCCCGCTGGGCTCGGTACAACCACTGACGCAGCGCCGGTGCCGGTGGAACACATCAAGACACCATCAGCGAACGGTGTGCACACGCACGTACAGTCCTTCGATGAGATTCCTGGGCCGAAAGGATGGCCTTTTATTGGGACACTTGGCACTTACTTGGTTGGAAATGGACTCAGCCGCATCTATGAACACCAGGTAAGCGGTTCCAAGGGCACTCTAGTTGTTTTTACCATGTTTATTTAAAACGATCAGACGATCATTTGGAATGATCCAATAATTATATGCAAACTGTTTACAATTGATTCAGGATCTTTGAATTGCATTTATCTTGTTTTTTTTTTAAATTTCAAATGTGGATATTAATAACCAATTACTGTACATGTACAATGAACATAATTCAATCAAAATTTAAAACGTGTCATATTATTGCTGATTAAATACATCATTTGTATAGGGTCCTCCTAAAAAGTGCTAGTTTGTGAAATAGGCCTACTCCACAAATTAATATCTCACTCTTTCGGCGTCTTTTCCCTCAATCATGTCAATATATTCCATGTAAAGTTGGTACTCTCTGCGGTTCCTATACTATGGAACTTGTCATCTCCATGATTTCAATTTTTAGCCACTTTCAACATGTTTAATTTCATAGTGTCATTGCAGTTGTATCACTAGTGGACATGGGCACGCCACGCTAGACGATTTATGTGCCACCGATTGTGCCCCACCCCTCAATTTGGGGATGACAAAAATAGTATTTTACTGTTGAATTGAAAACCAATTGAGTGCCCCGTCCAGAAAATGAGGCCCTTGCCCCCTCTCCTCCCTTGGCAATGGGACCCCAGTTGTGTCATTATTGTGTCATTGTCAGAACCAAAGTTAGCATTGCTGCAGAATAAAGAGAGATGCGCTAGCATCTCTGGCAAAGCTTAGCTGCGACGTGACGATAATCGTCGCGCTTCTTCGACCACTAACATGGTGCATGTGGTGCGTTGGTTCATGGTCGGTTCCACCATGCATAATTCTACCCTGGCTTAACTTACAGCATACATCCGTGATTTGTTCTTCGAAATGTGTTGTCGATGTTGTTCCTGCAGCATAGGAATCGTGTATATTGGGTCTGATCATTCCTCAGTGGCCCCATACTATAGTTCCTTGAAGTGCAATTGAGGAAAGGCCATGTCATTTTTCGATCAACTCCATATGGCTGCCATGGAAACCGCGGTAGTCATTATTTAAGAGACTCCCATATCAGAGGACTGAGGGGTGAATACGTGTGCTGTCGTGTCGAACCCCCAATTATATACCATGCCTGTAAAGTTATACTAATGTAATGGATTCACTTGTTGATGATGTTTGAGTGTACGTGTCCTGATGGCCGAAGCAAGAAATTGAAGAGCGTTCGGATAGCCATGTTGTGGAATTATTTTTTTAGGTGCGTTTAGTTAATTGGGGCATACCTGATGTAATTTTTGACAGTTTGGCATACAACCTTTTGAACGTCTGACTGACAACGTGCTTTGTTCATGGTGCTGCGGAAGAAATGGCAAATTACTAAATGATCGATATGTTATAAATGACAACATACGATCCATGGCCTGTCAATAGTATTCGTTCGTCTAATTGAGCTAATCGCATCTGCACAGTGAGGACAGTGATCACGAAGCGACTCCGTGACCACACCAGTGTGAGCATTCACGTGGCTGAAACATGTTTCATCATTCCGAGAATTCCCCCCCCCCCAAGTCGAGGAGTTGTTCTTACTATATCGAAGGATGAAGAGGGCAGAAGCGGTCCATGTGTCGCTTGTCACTGACACAGTGCATGATGGGCAGTTTCATAATGCTGTTTGTCATCACTCCCGGTGATGGATCTGGACTGAAAGTGACATTTCAAACAATTTGACATTGTGACCTCGTGTAACTGTAAGCATCCCTTCATTCCACACCACCTCCGCTGATGGAAGAATTTAACTCTGCATGCCTATAATGGCATTACATATTGCAGAAATTAAAGAAAGTTACTCGAAATTCGTGGACAGGCCTCTTTTTGTTACCTCAGTCGCGATATACCTTTCCCAGTGCATTTACGGTTCATTTTGCCTGGTGTCATGCGCACTCAGAGGTGGTCTTTGTGTGCTTTATTTGGGAAACGTGATGTTGTTGCCGTCTTATTACCGGCAAATCGACTTGGTTGCTCAGCTGACCTTTTGTCGTGTCTATCACTAGAGCAAAGTGAAAAACAACCCTCTTTTCCCCCTCCTTAATACCGGTCCCACGCACGTAATTATCACAGCTTAAAACATGTGCATTTATCGAGACGTTTTTGAGTGGCACCGTCTTGGGTTTTCTCATCCAGGTGTGAAGAGATCAACGTGACAGCATGACAAGGTGTGCTAAGAAGCTTTTGGTAATTAGCGTTAAACTTTTTGAAAGGTGAAGTGACGGTCGATGTTTACTTGAGCTGTATATGAGATTTGACGGTTTGCATGGTGGAAAGATACGAGACATGATAACTTTGCGGTAGCACCATGTGAATATTTAGCTGTATACAGTTGGAATGATAATAGTATAATACTCGCACGAATATTGTGGAAATCGGTCTTTCAAAATATTCCTGCCAAAACGTGCGCATAGACGGAACCATTGTTTCCGATTGCCGGTGTGTCTAAAAAAAACCGGTTAATGCCGTTGACATTGATTGAGGTCTTGTTAATTTTCAAATAAGTTTAAAGTTAAAGCGTTCCACAATCTCGGAAATCCACTGTATAATTCAGGTGAGTCTGGTAAGTCCCAAACAAGTCATACTCGATGCGATGGCAAAAAGGTCGGCTCCTACCGGTCAAGACCCCACGTGAGAGGAACTGACGGGGAAAATCGACAACAATTCCCGCTAGACGGACAATACGCCGCTGGCAATGGCCCACTTTACCTGGACAAAACACCAACCGATTTGAAAGAGCAACCCTCGAAATGGGGAGGAGATTTTACACCAAAAGTCGAGGGGTATTTGCCCTGGCGTTGTTTGTGAGGAACGGACAGCACCAGGAGGTAGGGTAATTGCTGATTCACAATAGACGCGGACAAAAGGCTGTCCTCGTTTGGCTCTTGTCGCCAGTGGAAGATAGGGGCGTTCCCTCTGGAAGGGTTCCATTCGTGGGGAGGCTGAAGGAGGTAGCAAACACGGGTGAACGAACTTCGGGAAAGCGGCTGACTTCAAACGTATAGACGGCGGCAGAAGGGGATTTGCCATCCTTGGTCCGGCAGGCAAGGCATGCTAGTGCAGGCGAGCTCCAAGGACTAAGTGAGAAACTGAACACCTAACACATGTCAAACGATAATTGCCCTGGGATGAATGCAGTGTCCATCTACTATTATCTGGCTGTAATTGAACAGGGAGCAGCAACACATCAATAAAGTTTATCGAATGTTAAGCTGCGTAAGGAGAACTGCTCTTTTGGCAGGTTTTGTAGGTTGGGATAATAAATTACCGGGCTTAAAACTTAAATACAAAGTTTCATCGGACACCACAATGGTTACAGAATGCCTTCGAGTTGATCTGAATCGAAATCGTCTGAATGTCTGAGCTGAGTCTGGGCGAAGACCTTGTTGCTTAGTATTCGTTGTTATGGGTTGCTGCATGGAAACTTGGGCGTGACTGATATTGTCTCCTTGAAGCCGGCCTCGACCTGCGATTTGCTTCTGGCGGTCATGCTGAGGTCACAAGATGGAGAAATCGTATTATGGTGGAACAAGCGGCATCCCGACACAGAATAATCGCAAAACTCGACGAAGATTCACAATAATATAGTCGAAAGAGCGCACGACGTCGTAACTTCACACAGGTCGAAAGCAATTAACTTCCGGTCCCCCGATCAATCGCGGCGCGGAAGTTCTACTCTTCGACTCATGATAATAATGTCGCTTGATGCTGATCGTCTTAATATTGTCGCAGTTACACTCGGGTCGCAAAAATCGGAAAACGAAATGTGCCCGATGGTCGTAGCTATTGCGCAGTTAAAATCCTGCAAAGTCAATCGCCGACTGTTCTCTATTATTGCATGGGCGACATTATTATACATGTAAAGATATATACCATACGTTATTGCATCGAAACCAAAATGATGAGGTAATGATGATGATGAGGTAAAAAGCGCAATGAATATCATAAGAAAACGTCAATTTTCTAATAAGTTGAATAACTGTCTTCACGTGTACAGAAGGGAAACTTTGCTACTGGGTTGGGATAATGGCTTTCAAATTTGTCATGTGCATGTTTGTATTGCTGTCTTCAAACGTTTGGCATAATTTACGGACGACGAACGTCCATCCATCGATATTCTAGGAAAGAGTTTAACCCTTTTTATTTAAACTTACTCGCAAATACGTACATATTACTCGTTTCTATATTATCTTGAACTAAATTGGGTCACTTTCTAAATTCGGAGCGATATATTCATCCATGATCTCTATTTTGGCGCCAAGGCACCAAGGCTATCCAGGTCCCGCTACGTTTCTCACCTGTCCAATCACCTTAACCCAGGATATCGAAGTCCCTCCGCGGTAGACAATTAAATCTGGCAACCCAATAATCTGGCGGTAAGATGAGACGGCTCGCGGCCCCAGCAGCTCCGTTCCTGCCCAGCAAGAAGCTTGTCCTTGGAAGGTGTACAATAATAGAACTAGGCTAGAACAGATTGGATAGTGAACATCAAGTCGCCAATGGGGGCGGCCGATTTGGGGTTAAGAAGACAATACGGTTATAACTCTTGCCGCTCCTAACGCGATATACCAGCTTGGTTTCCCTGCTGACTATGGGGAACCTTGCTAAAAAAAGAAGAAGTGTATTTGCACACAGTGAAGATGCTCATTGTAAGAAATAGAAAGTGTGTTTTGGATTCTAAAAAAAGTTTCGATGAACTGACAAAATTTATGTCGACCGATCGGAATGTTCGATCCTTCTTTTTACTGCATGTTATTCTCCATATACATTTTGTACAATGTACATCCATGGGGGAAGGTTCTCTCCATGGTACATCGAAAGAACCTTCATTTCTTCGAGTCGACTATCTTTTTGAGAAAAAAATCCTCAACCATATCATGGAAAGCTTGCTCATGCCGTTGTCTGTGCGAAATTGTATTTTTTTTTCAGTGTGTGACCTTCAGAAAATTTAATACTTGAATCATCATAGAGCAATAGATCAAGGAATGCTTGGATAAGTTTTTTTTTAAGGGTAAATGGTAATAATAAGTTGTTTTGATTTGCGAGTTTTTGGAAAGTCACTCACCTAGTGTTCAATTCAAGCAAAGACCCCCGATTCGTGACTTGAGGTCGTGTTCTAGCGGTCACTCACTGTGTCCAATTATACTTGTTCAGTCCAGCCCAACCATCCGTGACACTAGGTGCTTGCTCTTCTTGAATCACGGACTATTCTCACCAAACGTGAAACGGTGAAAGGCCCCCGGCGTGAATAGCGGTGGTTTACGGAACACGTATTTGCTGCGCAGTGATTACCCATTTTCCAGTGCCGGTTGTTGACAAGCATTTATGATTGCGTCCGTTATACAGCCATTCAGTGCCATCTGATGACCCTTTGATGGGGTTCGCAACCCTGATTGTTGGTAATAATTAGTTGGAAGCCAGGGTAGGCAGGCTGAACGGGCAATTACGAGGAAAGGAAGGAAAGAAAAAAAAAGACCTCTCTTTTCAGGACGCGACCTGCCGGGGAAAACATCTTTTGTTCCGAGTTGGGTTCACTAGCCGAAGATGCGGCACATATATCCAGAGGCGAGAGGTTACTTGTGGTGTCGCATTTGGACAGGGAGGGCAAGGATTGTAGAGTCAAATTAGTTTATCGAAATTTCAAGGATATGGCAGTCATTAAGCAAGAATTTGAGGCAAAATCTTGTAATAAGTGTGAACATTTTTACTGACAAGTATGGGCCACGCTTGCTTCTATAAAACTCCATTCAAGCATCTGTCCTCAGTCATACTTGTCAAAAGTAGGCTTGTGGGCGAAGGAGGCCCACATTGGTTTGAAGACATGCCCTCCCTAAACAGTTGACTTAAGGATATATATTTTGCCGCTTGGCAAAATTTGTAGTTGAGATTTTTCTGGGGAAAATATGAAATCAGTTTAACTTAAAGGCATATAAGATCATTAGCGTGTCAAGCATTTGTTCATTTCCAATAATAACACCACTCAAAATCCAATGAAGAATGTTTGAAACATAACCTGTTGACGTTTCAGCTCAGTGGATTTTACTCTTTTAGGGAAAGACTACGTACAACCTTCTGTTCACAAAACACCATATTGTGGACTGTGCTATTGTCTATAGCACTCTATATTGAAAAAAATTCAGTCAATTGATCGATCATTGGAAATCACCAACATTTTTTGATTTCTTCTAAATGACAGCAAGCCAGATGGAATAATTGCTCAGGGTGTTTATTACTAGTGTGGTCTTTAATACAAGAAAGCTTTTTGATAATTAGTTTTTTTTGGATAAATGCAAATGATCCTATTGCCTTAAAAAGAGACACACTCGGCCCTTTTTGGAGTCTACACTGGCCTGAAATGCGATCTTATTGGGTGGTATTGCTTCTTTTCCCCCCTTTTTTTGAACAAACTGTTTTACCTTTGCGCTTTTGTAAGTTGAGGAAAGTATGCGGCTGTAATATAACTTTGGCTGTAAAAGTTTGGAAGTTTTTATAATTCTTTGTTGTGGTTATGTGATTAAGAAAGGAATTATTTGGAAAAAAATGCTTTAAGACTGTGTATGTAAAAGCCTTGAGCTTTTACCTTTGTTCTGTTTGTAAAAGGTTTGTTTGTGTTACTAAGTATACATGACACAAGGGTGTATTGGAACAAGTTCTTATTTTCTCACATGATCTGATCAGTCAACAAGTATCTTTTTACCATCAACAGATCGCTTTCACCAAACAGTATGGCCCCATTTGGAAGGAGCGTCTGGGGTCACTGGAGTTTGTTAACCTCGCTGACCCCGAGTTGGTTTCCATGATGTATCGCCATGACAACAAGTACCCAATGAGAGTCGATATGAAACCATGGAAGGCTTACAGAATGCATCGCAATGAGTCGCTTGGTGTGCTCACACAGTGAGTCCTAGCCCCATAAATGTAGCCTATTTACTGGACTGCCTCCGTAAACATAGGCCACACATCCACATGTACAAAAACGTGTCGCACTTTGCCAAATTTTGATTTTCACAATTAGGCTTAGTTTGTAGGATTTTTTTGCTTTAGAAGCATACTCACCCTCTTTATAGGCTAATCAGAAAGTGCTGCCTTTTTCAGATGTCTAATTTTTGTGAAATTTCATGTTGAAATTTTGATACGCAAAAGTGTAAAAATGAATCTGGAAATTTCACGAAAAATATACATCTGAAAAAGGCAGCACTTTCTGATTAGCCTATAAAGAGGGTGAGTATGCTTCTAAAGCAAAAAAACCCTACAAACTAAGCCTAAATGCGAAAATCAAAATTTGGCAAAGTGCGACATGTTTTTGTACATGTGGATGTGTGGCCTATATGTTTACAGAGGCAGTCCAGTAAATAGGCCACATTTATGGGGCTAAGTGAGTCCATACTACATTAATTTTGTAAAAAATTCTATGAATTTTGTAAAGGATTTTCTCGCCAAAAATTGTTATCAGAAGTGAGGAATGGTTTGTTTTCTCCAAATTCCAATGAAATATTTGTCATTTTCTGTGCGTGCAGCTTCATCTATTCAAAACAAATGGGAGTAAGTGGGCAATGATAAAACAATGGCGGATCTTCTCTTGTCTACAAAATTTGGGGTTTTTTTAAACACATTTTGTGCAACTTTCCACTCGTCTAAAATGTATGAAAACTGTTTGACATCCTTTTTTGGTTAATTTTATTCAAAAGTGCACTTCTTTAACTTAATTAAACATTAAATATTCTCCATGCTTTTCTGTGAGGTCGTTGTTGTTGTGATGTAATTTCAGGAAGACACGATCAGGTTATGGGTTTTATGTTCATTTATGACCCCAAAACATTGAAAACATCTGTGAGAAAAGTTTGTTCATTGGTTAATACTGCCATGTACTGCTGACACAACAATGAGCCACCACAGGGAAAGAAATTTACAACAGCAAACTATCCAAAATTCTGGTAACTTTTTGTGCTGACATAGCTGTAAATAGATGTTTCTGCCTGAAATAACATCACACTTTTGCTCATGAATATGGACATTTCATTAGCATAAAAACCAAAAAGGCACCAAAATACCCTTGTAAATGGCAAACTGAAAATCAAAAATTAGGTTAAATGGGACACAAAGGTGCATTTTAAGGAACTTGTTCCCAAGAACTTTTGTTTTGCTTTTGAAAGGGTGATGTACTTTCAAAAGTCAGAATCAAAACAAAATGTTGAAGTTCTTCAGATCAGAATAAGTAATGCTCTAAGGAAAATAACCAAATAGTCACAACTCAGTAAGAATGCATGAACAATAAAATTAGAGAATGATAAGGATCTGTTTCTCTCTGGTCTGACTTGACAGCGAAGGCAAGCAGTGGCATCGAGCACGCCGCCTACTGAGCAAGAAGATCCTGCCGCCCAAGACAGTCGGCGCCTACGTTGGAGTCATTAATGAGGTCATGGAAGACATGATTCAGAGGTTACGCTACGTCAGGGACGTGACCAATCAGGATGGCCTGGTTCCTGAACTGACCAATGAGATGTACAAGTGGTCCATGGAATGTGAGTGTGAATCCCAACTCGGAGGCGTAGTCCGGGTGTCCTGACCCTCTTTTGTTCAATTTTTAATTTTTATTTTAAACTTTTTTTTGAAATGGAAGCTGTTACTTGATGGAGCCCTCACACATTCAACATTAACACCAATGCTGTCATTTTTAAAACTGAAAATTAATTCCAAAAGTGTCGAAGCACTAAAAGTTACAGCCTCTTTCCAAAAGTCCTGGATCCACCCCTGCAACTTGAAGTTATCACGAGAGTTCATAAGTACCATAACTTTTTTCCATCATTCCAACAACTTAACCAAATGGTGAAACTGTTAGAGCTTGCTGTGCTGTTAAGTTAGGCCTATCAGTGCTTTGCAGTTGTTAAACCAAGTAATTTTTTTTTCACAAATCAAGTCAAGTCATAAGTCAAATTTTCACAAGTCAAGTTAAGTCACAAGTCAATTTTCCCAAGTCAAGTCAAGTCACAAGTCAGGTTTTTTTTTTCCAAGTCAAGACACAAGTCTCAAGTCAATTTTATCAAGTCCTTAACATACTACACATGTCCTTCATAATTCATATGACACATGTGTCCTTTCTCTGACATCTTTTATCGATAAGGAAACGTTTGCAATATATGACTACAAATTGTGCCTAATTGATGTCAAGCTTGCTACATGTACATCAGGTCCATGGCTTTCTGTTACAAATTGTGCATACGTCCGAAAAGTTGTGTTTAGTTTAACAAAAGTGTTTAACAAAAGTGTTAATGTCAGCAAATCAAATGTATTCAAGTCAAGTCAAGTCACAAGTCATTCTATTTCCATGTCAAGTCTCAAAGAAAAATAAAAGCGATGCAAGTCGGACTCAACTCGAGTCAACAACACTGCTGCTTTGTCAGTACAGTAGTACAGATATTCATTCATTTGTATTCAAACATCCTTAGAAAATTGGATTACTCTAGAAAAGTTTGTTAATGATAATATATGTATCTTATCAGAGTTTTGATTAGTTGGCTTACTTAAGTCATTTTTTTATTGCAATTTTTTTTTACAAAGCAATTTTCAAGATCCTGTTTGAGACCAGGATTGGCTGCCTAGACAAGCAGATCCCAGCTGAGTCGCAACGATTTATCGACTCCATCCATCAGATGTTCATCTCTGGCCAGATCCTCTTTGTCACATCACCGGAGTTCTTCAGGAAGTACAACCTCAAACCATGGAGGGACCATGAAGCAGCGTGGGACTACATCTTCAGTTTTGGTAAGGATTTTTTTCAGAAAACACCTGCGTCAAATCCTGTTAAACTGCCATTTCACAGCGTTTGTATTATTTCAGATAAGTTTCATCTTCTTTTGGGGGTAGGCCAACTGATTTGAATCATGCGTTTCAGTGGCTATTGCTATTCTTTATAATTATGGTCTGAAGTTCTGAACGAGGTCTACTTTTTATTTGATTTCATGGAATTTTTGTACAAAATGTGGTAAGCAGATCTTTCCATAACTAATAAATATGGAATTTAAATCTCACTTTCATGATGCCATACTTTCGGATTGCTTTTTAGATGTAGGTCATTTTTCTTTAAACCTCAGTGATTAACCAGCGTTAAAGATATCTTAATGAGAGACTTAGAGGTCCAGTGTTCATCTTCAACCCAAGCAAGTCTGTAATATCTTTCTCACAGGCTTCTAAAAAGCACTGATAGTATACACAGGGTAAAACATGCATTAAACAAAGTACTTGCATTGTTTTTCACATCAAATAACAAAAAATGTGAATCTGAAATTAAGAATTTACGAAGAGTTACCAAGTTCTGCAATGGAAAGTAAGCTTTGTGGCATACTTAAACGTCCAACTGTTTTAACAGTCATAGACATTCAAAAAGTCCATCCACTTTCCCTGCCATGCCTTTTACACAGGCTAGTGACAAACAATCAGATCATTATTTCAAGCAAGCCCTGGGACTAGTCAAATTCAGTCAACAGATGAAAGCAGGAAACTGGTGGACATAGCTGTCTTATCAATCACCTACAGTCAACACACATGTGTATCAAGTTACATAAACAGTCACAGCCAGTCAGTCCTGCTTTATGCAGCCTGGGAGCTCACAATTCGTGAAAACAGTCACTTGATTGATTTTGACTGCAAGGACAACAAGGAGGGGTAATGAAGTCAATTTGCAGTCAACCTGGAGCTTCGTGTGAATCCTTGAATTTTTTTTTAACAAACAAAAATTACAGCCAGGAAGGCAGTGGACAACAGACTGGCTGAGATATCTGCCCAGTCTGAGAGTGAAGGCGAACTGGAAGCTGACGGATTCCTGACCTACTTGCTGTCAAGCAAGCAACTCAGCATGAAGGAGATATACAGCAATGCCTGTGAATTGCTCCTGGCTGGAGTTGACACTGTAAGTCTACCCGATCTCTCAAAGTTCACATTTTGGGTGACTCTGTTTTTATTTTCATCGTTTGGTGAGCATTGACAAAGTGATATTTCAGTAATCTTTTAATCTTTTGATTTCCTTTACTTCAAATTTGTATAAGTTTGTGACACTGATGTTCAGAGAGGCACCAGAATAGCTAGGTATAGTATTTCGAGGACTTACAGTCGAAATTTGCATTCCGTTAGCCTCAGTGTGAAAATGTGCCCCTCTCCAAAAAAAAGGAAAGTGAGATCTCATAAAACATTCCACCAACTTGACAACGATTTAAAACATGTTGCAAGTTACGACGTGTCTAAAGTGGTCATCGCAAAATAAGAAATGTCCTTTTTTAGCCAGTTTCATGCCATAAAAAGTACATAAATGAGACTACTAAGTAACACCAAGACATTGTGTGTAAATGGAAAAATGCATTGAAATAATTATGAATTAGCCTGGAATATTGCAGTTGAAATTTTAAAGTGGCCATACAGTTTACTGCTAGCTTGTTTTCCTTTAAAACTACATCGTTTGTCCGATTTTACGTTTTAAAAACTTTTTGAGAGGAAATCTGACGACTCTTTGTTGAATATCAGACAACTTTTCACTGTACGCTGAATAAATACATGCAACAGGTACCATGTTGTGCTATAATTTACGCGTTTTGTGAAATGAATCGCAGTACGCGTCGCAGCTGTGATGCATCGTAAGTTACGATGAGTTTCGTGAACTCGGGTGCTGTTTTGTTAGAAAGTGAGAGAGGGAGCCAATAATTTATTTTCCTATTTTTTCCCAAATAACCATTAAACGAATGAAAAAAATAGATTGTCATAAGAGGCATAGAACAGAGGAGACATACTATTTTCTACAAAAAAATGAAATAATAAAAAACAGCAGTGCATCCAATTACTTCAAGCGACAAAAACTTTAAGGGGAGCAGCACTATTTAAGTTATTAGAAATGGGGAAAATGGCCCATTCTGATTTCGTGGGAGAGTTTAAGACTGTACAACTGTATTTTCTCTTTGGGAATGACCTGTCGTGCAGATGTTTTCTGTTACTTGGCTGGCGTGATTGCTGGACGCAAACTGACTTGACCACACGGCTATTACACAAACACTCCATAAAATCTAAACAAAATATTGAAAGGACACCCTGCTATCTTTCATAAAAGCACCAACACAGCCTGACAGCGGCCGAAGTGTCACGTTTTTTCTTATGACCACAGGGAAGTGTCAAAGCTGGCCTGGAAAAATACCCCAATAGCTGGCGGAATTTTGGGGTCACAAACACGGGTGACATCTGACAGTCCGTGTTTTAAAGGGAAAATACAACATTTGCAAACATCAAAAAATAAAACTACCAAATCATTTTGAAATACCTTGCTGGACTGTTAGTGAATGACAGTGTAAAGCATCCTGTAAAATCATGGCACCTGGTATATTGTTATTTTCAAGAAAAGTGGTATTTTTGTATCAATTTCCAACGCTGATCGGCCGACCAGCGTTGGAAAAAACTGGCTTTTTTTCAAATACTGGCCCCAGTTGACCATCGCACTTGTTTGCAATCGATTACACACCTATGAACGGGTACAAGCCAGCTAGACTGGTTCCCTGACCTTACAATTCCCCAATGTATGTAAACTGCTCTGTTTCTTCTTAAATGGAGTCAGGGAACCAGATTACAGGAAAATGATTGTTTTTCTTGGTTTTTATAGCATTTTCGAACCCAAAACCTCAAAAAAGTCAGTGTAACTATATTTGCTATATATTTCCAACCCCCCAATTCCATCCATTTCTGAAAATTACAGCAAAAGCAAATGATGTATATTCCCTTTAACAGTGGTGCTGCTTTTAAACATGTGTTCCCATGCCAATTTGGGTTCGGGATAGAGTAAGGTCATTCAATCAGGCTGGACAGTGAAGAATATTTAACGTCTGATAAAAAGTGAAATGCCCTTGGAAACTGGTATCAACTGTGTACACATGTAAACTCAAGAAGTACAAAATAAGGTTAAAATTCTCGAGGGGAACATATTGCATTTTTATAAGTGGAAAATCACAGATTTGAATACTACATTAAAAATCAATATTCCGAGTGAGCGACGTCCTAATTTGAACCAAAATGTAAATACGGGCCTAGCATAGTTTGCCCTGCCGTTGCCCTGGTTACTGGGAAGTTCCAGCCTGGAACATGGCCCTGCTGTAATCACACAGGCCCTCCTGTGCCAAAACAACAGGTGGGAGTTTTATTACTGAAAGGTGCCGACGGTAATTCATCCCTGGGGCCACTTTGAAAACCCTTCGGGGAGAACTAGTGCCAGCTACAGCATGTACACATTTTGACAGGAAACAGGCCAGGGCTACCCATTGATATGAACATGATCCTTATGATTTAGTTCACCTACAAGCCAGAGATTAGGTTGGGAGGGGTGACAAGTGTCAGCCATTAACTAACACCTGTCGGTGATGTATTTTTGTGAGGAAGGAGAAAGTACTAGGAATCAAATCAAATTATATATTTATGTAAACTTCGTAAGGGCCTCACTACCTCCTCCCCCCCACCCCACCTTCCCAATTCTTACTTAAGATTCTTAAAGTCCTGGCTTCGACTGCGTACCCAATTTAGGTGCTTTCTATTTTTTGACCCATTTTCTTCAAACAAAATGACACAATTGGCAAAATCAGTGATAAACACATGTAAACAAGTTGAGTTCCCCAAAATAGACTAAATAGTATGCATAATTCAATATCATACATAACTCCGACAAAATTTAAGATAGCAAAATAAAAATATCAAACACTCCACAAACACCCCGAATTTCAAAAATGTTGTCTAGTCTGCCGTCAATTGTCAAATCTAGCATATTGGCAGATAACAGCTGCACGGACCAAGGTTCGATCGGATCAAATCCCAGACCAGAGGCAACTCGATAGATGTGGTTAGACTAGTGTTTGTTCCAAGCAACAGACTTATGTTTCAAAGCTGTCTCATTTGGTGCCTAATTTCCTATAATACTTTAAGTCTTCAAACAGAAATTCTGAAACAAGTATACGAGTGTTCAGGGTTTCAGTATAAAATGTAAACTCTGTAGTTTTTTCCCTACATTTTCTTGTGTCCTTCCCACAGACCTCCAACACTCTGGCCTGGGTGTTGTATGAGCTGTCCAGGCATCCTGAGGTCGAAGAGCGGTTACACCAGGAGGTGTGCCAAGTCCTGGGCTCAGACAAGACAAGGAAGGCAAACACAGAGGACTTGGCTCAAATGCCCTACCTCAAGAGCATCATCAAGGAAATACTCAGGTCAGTACCGAGAGAGAAGTAGAATTCAGGTCCCGTCCAAATTCTCTGTAGTCAAGACTTTATAGCATTCAACCCTATCCAACTCGACCCTTCCCAAACAACCCCCAGAATTGAGGTAATTTAACCGTGGAAGATTGGGGAAGTGTGTTGAACCTCCACCCATGCCACCCTTTCCTCTTCTGGCCAGATAAGAAAAGCCACTTGATCATCCATCAATCTAGATTTCCAAATTTGCCCTTTTAACTAAAACCTGTATCCACCCCATCTTACAGTGACCATTGCATACTGCTAAATTCTGTTTTCAAGTTAACTGGGGGAGCTAGCTTACAAGGCTCCCCTGCTCATGGCCTGTGTCCCCTTGTAGCCCCCACTCTCCTTAAAATTGAGAAAAAGTGAGCTTGTTTGAACCACTATGGGCGAGCTAGGTCAGTGCCCAACTCCCCGGAAAATTAAGAAGTGTCCCCTTTAACCAGTTCGCTTCGGAGGACATGATAGCACACACTAGCACTGGCTGTTTTTATACACAGGCATGACTGACGGGTTAAATCTTCATGATTGTCTCGACTCGCCTCCGGGTGACACCTAAACACGCTAATCCCTCATGCCTTTTGTACACACACACAAAGTCCGTGAAGTGTGTGGAGGCAGACTGTGTGTTGATCTTGAATTGGCCATTGTGCACGGCCAATTCTGCAATTTACGCTCCAGTGCGCACCCCAGAGTATTGAAACATATGAGATTTCAACAAGAGATATCATACAAATACTGTTGAAATGACTCTTGCGAATTACTATTTGTGGTGTTTGGCTGTATATCAAAAGTTGGCTGGGAAATTTTGCCTTTTGCAACAATCAAAATGTTCGGAAAAATAAACCCGGCGTGAAGTGTTGAAATTGGGCCAAGCTTATGCTACTGTCTGAGTGACTTCTATGACCTAATTTTCGATACTTTTCTTCTGATTGTGATTCAGATTGTACCCCGTCGTTCCTGCCAATAATCGCATTTTGGAGAAGGACATCGTCATTGGAGGTTATCACATCCCCAAAAAGGTACAAACCTTTAAAATCAGAAATAGAAATTAAATACTGTATTTAAAGAGTCAAAGGCAGTGATGCCCGTTCCAGTGAGAAAGATATAACAGTATCCTGCAAGCAGCTGTTGTGTGCAATGTAAAGCATTTGTTTATTCATATACCTAGGGCAAGACAGTGAATAACTTGTTTTGCCAAATTTGTGAAATTCCTAGTGACACAACTGTTTCATTTTATTTTCATGCTACAGGGTGGTGCAAAAAGAAGGAAACCGACTTTTGACAGCAATTTTCACCTTTTTGTTGAGCATATTTCAAAAATTCAACTTCATGGTATTCAAATATTATTTTGTCTCTGAGATATGATAGTTTAACATTTTCATGTGCCAAACCTGTTTGTCCATGGACGGCTTTATTCCATCCGCTTGACTGAGCTCCAGAGCTGGATTTTAAGACAAAAAACACTACACCAGACTTACACGTGAACAACAGTGACTGGTATTCAAACTAGCATAATAACATTTTTCTTGCGATTTTTTGAAAGACTTTTTCACCATGTATGGTTGAAGAGCTATACTTCACTGCCTTATCAAAAAAATTCAAATAAGTTAAGTTAGTAGGTTGAAAGTCCTGTCAAAAGTGGGTTTCCTTCTTTTTGCACCACCCTGCATGTGCCTGGTAAAGCTGTTAACCAATACCTTGGCATTTGACTTACATGTATTAGAGCAATGGTGCACTTAATATGACCAAGGAGAACACATGGCCTCTTATTATCCATATGTTCATAAGGTGGAATCTTTTGCGTTGGGGTGATGTAAATCACCTCAGGTTTTGCCCTTCACTGACGTATAAACACTGTAAACTCAATGTGTTACCTCCTTGGAAAAAAATCCCACCTCATGAATAGTTTATGCGGTACCCGCTGCTATGTACATCAGATTCGAACCAGCCAATCGATCCCGTTAGCTTGGTGGTCGAGTGGTAATTAAGACATCTGCACTAGAAAGCAGGAGGTCGTGGGTAAGTCCCACCTGAGTGATTTTTTTCCAACTTTCACTCCGGAGGTAACACACTGAGTATACAGTGTTTATACGTCGGTGAAGGGCAAAACCTAACTTGATATCCATATGTTGTTCAGATTTTCTTCATGAAAAAATATTAAGTTCTTAACCATCCGGGCTGTATAAATCTTGAAGAAAAATTTTCACTTAGAGATAATTAAGGACCATAGCTATATCATATCTTTATTTAAAATAGTAATTTGACTGACCTGACTTTTTCGCCCGAGGGGTTTTTTTGAACTTATTTTCAACATTACATGTATATTCAACTTACTTTGTATTTTTCCCCCTTTAATCCAATTGACTTCATTAAGCCTTTTTTATTTTTTTCAAAAACATATTCAAGGCATTCCATTCAACCAATGTACTTGTGTAAACTGCAGAAACCTCTTAAGGTTACAAGGAATGTTGCACTTTTTCTTATTTCAATTGTGGTGACTGGTGTTTTGCCAAGAAACAGTAATTTGTTAGAAAGGGATCTTTGATAAGAAAGTAAAGTTCGTACCTGGAAGTTACAATTCAAATGCAAAGGTTAGTTATTATACAAATAACGAATGTTTGTGAGTGCAATGGTAAGAATAATTTCATGAGGTGACAGATTGAATGTTCTATTCCACGAGGCGAAGCCGAGTGGAATAGAACATTCAATCTGTCACTAAATGAAATTATTCTTTCCATAGCACGAACGTAAAACATTCGTTATTTGTTTTATACAACACCTGAATAAATTCTCATCATTTGATTGGTAAATTATAAACTACAATTTGTTTTGATTTTAAAGATGTTGAACTACCCCTTCACGAAAATGTTTGAACCCAACGCTGTAGCGCTGGCTCTTTGGAACAATACACGCTACGCTGAACGCGCACACCAGCATGCATTTTGCACGCAAATACCGCGTCACGGAACAAGCGCAAAGTGAAACGGTATAACGCATGGGTATAACGCATGGTCGCACCGTGCATTATACCGAATAATAATATGTCACATGATCTACAATTCACCAATCAGATGACGGGGATTTATTCAGGTGTTGTATAAATGAAAACGTTTCATAAATTGGACTTCTAAATGTATGTTCAAGAACCAAAAACCAACAGAAAATCAAAATAAAAAGATTAAGTGAATTTTACTCCTCATTCAAGTCATGCCAAATAACTGAGAGTGTACCAACAAATTAGTCTCATCAGTCAACTATTTGTGACTTTTCCTTGTTGTATAATTGCATTGTTTCCTCTTCTTCAAATTGACAGACAATCATCGGTTCCCTGCAGTATGTGATTGGCAGGGACCCCAAGGTGTTTGAGGAGCCCAACTCCTTCAGACCCGAGCGTTGGTTGAGGGACAACTCGGGTCGCATGCACTGCTCCAATTCCAGCTTCGCCTCGGTGCCTTTCGGCTTCGGTCCCAGGATGTGCATCGGGCGGAGAATTGCCGAACTGGAGCTGAACTTGGCCCTGGCTAAGGTGAGGGGAAAGAGCAACCTGTTGCTTGGGAAACTTGATAGATTAGATTAAGGGATTGGTAGAGGTATAATGCAAACATCTGCGCTAATCATCCCGTCCTTGACTGAGTGGTTCTTCTTTGAAGTTGAACACAATTTGTTATGAGTCCCAAGTGCATGTTTTCAGATTGGGTCATGTAAAGTAGGCCTTCTTCTACTGCACTGCTCAGGTGTGCACTTTCGGGGTACGGGAGCAGGTGACCCTGACCCTAGTGCTCCTAAGTGCTTTTGCAACCCTTGACTTTGAGTGTCTTTTAGCCTTCTAATGATAAAATTTGAAGTTATCAGATCCGTAAACGTAATCTTATAGTCTTAAATGGACACTACCATAAAAAAAGAAGAAGTAGAAGTGATCGATTTCACTTGCTATGGAGCCTTACTATGGTTGGGCAGTTTAACCCATTTGCACTTGTATTACATTGTATTACATTGTTATTACTCCTTGATGAATCCATAAGGCCAAATAGAAAGAAAAACATGTTTAGCGTCCCTGACCGCTTCCTTTTTGGAGGCTGCCTCCTCGTTTTGTTTCTTTTTTTCTTTTTTTTTAATTGAAAAGAAAACCCAGAAAAATGATAAATTTTAAACAGTGACATCATTTTGGCCTCTTTGTCTGTTGCATCTAGCCCATATAAAGCTGGTATGTCATTTCCTGAGTCCAAGTGGTGGCCATTTGAAAAAAAGCTTGCGGCCATCTTGAAAAATAGCCTGGTCGGTCATTTTGGAAAATGCTAAACATGCTTTTGTTATTTGGCCTAAAACCAAAGAATGCTGGGGGAGTTTAGGGCTGAATAAGGAGTAACAGGCTGACGAGTGCTTTGGGGCGGTACATGGACTAACGGCAAATAAAAACCTAAGTTACAAAGTTTTAGAAATTAATGGCCAAGGAGAAATTGCATCTTGTGTCTTGTGCAAACAGTAAGCGAAGTTGTGACATCGCATTTTTATACAAGTCAATCACAAAATCAACCACCACACCTCTAATTGACAAGTAAGCTGTTCCAATGACTTTGACAAAAACATTTGATTATTATCATCCCCACTTTTGTTTCCTTACTTGCAATATGACTTTATTATAGTCGTGGATGTGACTTCAACTCAATTTGTCAAATTTTGCTTGAAATGTTCTATTCATTTGTAACTTAATGCAATCTTTTTCAGATCTCACAGACGTTCAAGTTGGAGTACCTTGGAGAGGGCACCGTTGCCCCTACAGTTCAGGGATTGCTCGTCCCCGGGGGACCAGTCAAGGTCGGCTTCACAGACAGATGATGTGATGGGCGGAAACCAACTGATTAGATTGATCAATGTCTAGGTCAAGTGATTACTCACAAGTGGTATATTAAATGTGTCTGGATAAGTCCAGCCTTTAAAATGGCAACATTGGTGGATTTTAGATTTGAGATACAAACAAGTAACTCCAGTCACAAATAATTAGAAATAAATTACAAATAAACAGTAAACAATTAACAGGGTATGAACAATGGTAAAGGAAGACCTTTGCTAAACAGCTTTTCACATGTTGTTAGCCTGAAAGGCTTGTGATTCACTTGTGATGACTTCTGATAACTTGCGCTGACTTCTGATAACTTGCGCTGACTTCTGATAACTTGCGCTGACTTCTGATAACATGTGATGACTTGTGTTTCACTAAAGTTACACAAGTCTTCACAAGTTATTTGGTAAGTAGCGTTTCACATTTTGTAAGCCTAAACGTCTTGGTATTCATTTGTGACGACTTCTGATAACTTGTGATGACTTCTGATAACTTGTGATGACTTACGATAACCTGATAACAACTCTTGATTTAGTTTGTTTCAACATACTTTTCCTAGAAAATAAATAAAAGAAATAGACAGTTTTCAGGGAAAATACGTCAAAGAAAAGTTGTCTGAATAAAGAAAGAAACTCTCCACAAATTTCACAAGGTTTATTTGCACATTGTGTGTGCATACAATCGAGGAATGCAAGACCCTCTTTGTTGGGTTTTCTTTTTATCAAAGTCTCTTTTTTATTCTTCCAACCATAAATTGTAAATGTCGCACGTTTGAGGGAGGGTCAGAGGTGGACCAAGGGTACAGTACCTGCAGAGTGAAACTCAAATGGAGCATAAGGAACATTTTTGCTGTTGCCTCCCAGACATTGTAATTGATGGGTTTGGCTCCACAAGGGAGCTTTTAAATGTAACTCTACCCACATGTGTTGAATGTTTAGTTGATTGAGAACAGACTGACATGTCAGTCCTGACTATAAAGATTTATTTTTCTAGCCTTCCTCTTTTCCTGCAACAAAATAGTAAGACTAAATCTTAGGTACCTCAGTGTTCCCCCTCCCCCAATTTCCAAGGGCTTACTCTAGGCCTTGATTTGAGACGACAAACAAATCAAGCGCGAATAACTTGTGATGGAATTTGTATCAAGGAGACATGTTCATGATGGGATTTGCTCTTTATGTTCAATACTTTGGTGGAGGCCAGCAGGCGGGCTAATTTCACGGCGCTGCCAAGCACAAAAATTTGCTTAGCACAAAAAACGTATGGCTTATAAAAGCAGGTTATCAGCCAAAACTCCATGTGATGTATATTGCTCGTGATTGGTATTTAACTGTTGTTTGCTTAGCATGAAAATCACATGGAGTTTTGGCTGGTAACCTGCTTTTATAAGCCAGACTTTTTTGGGCTAAGCAAATGTTTGTTTTTAGCAGTGCCGTGAAATAGGCCCCCAGCTGGTTGTAATATTAAAGTTGCATTTCCGTTGCTCTTCAATAATTTTGAGTATTTTTTTTTCTATTAATAAGTTTTCAACTTGTATGTTTTATTCCAACCAAAAAACGCCTTCTTTCCTTTTTTTTTTTGATGTCTGCAACCCTCCGGGGAAAACACTTTTTGTTTTGAGCACAAACAGATCAGCTTTGTGAGCAGACTGGCTCCCGTTCCATACATTATCGATACTGATTGTGGGGCGGGAACCAGCCTACCAGTGGCGTAGCCAGGAATTTTTCAGTAGGGGGGCGCTGGGGGGGGGGGGGGGGGGGGGGCTGGAACACTTCATGGGGGGCGTCATGTAGATCAATGATAATTTTTTTAGAAACTCAAAAAATCTCAGTGGGGGGGGGGCGACTGGGGGGAGGCGACAAGGTTTCATGTGGGGGGGGGCGACAAGGTTTCATGGGGGGGGGGCTGTTGCCCCCCCCCCCCCCCCCCCCTGCAGCCTACCGCAAGAGGACAGAATTATTGTATGGCAGCCAATAATTGAAAATTTTGAAGTGATTATTCAGTAACTAAACATTGGCCGATTTTTACGGTCAATGGCTCGTAAAGTGAATAACTTGTGTGTTGCTAGAAAAATAGCAATTTAGAAAAGGAATCTATTTTTCGGGATGAAAGTCAAAAATATCACTGGGAATGCAACTTACAACGGTGCGTAAGAAGCAAGAGTCAGCATCCTTTGTTTGGAGAGAGGTGGAGAGGGGACAGGGCACTCTTGCTTCCCAACCCAGCTGGATCAGCCAGTGTTATATTTATCCCCAAAATAAAAATGTTATCATTACAAAATGTTGTAATGCGGTAAGATTGAAGTTTAAAAAGTCTGAACTGTCAAAATTGTCTGTTTTGTGATCAGTTTAGTTTTAACTCATGATTCAATTGCCAAGCTCAAACCAAATATCCTGTAAATACTTCAGGTTTTTCTTGTTTATGCCAAATTATTTAATGGACTATATTTTCCTACTTTTGTTATGTTTTCTTTACTTAACCAGTGACATCTATTTGTATAGCATTCTTATTTATTATCTCGATAGTTATGTATTCTTTTGATTTGTAAAAACTTATAAACTCGTTTGTTTGGAGTTATTCATTTTGAAATGACTGTTTACAACATGTTGGAGAGTGTAGAAAAAAAAGAAGTCAGATTACTGTTTGAGGTTTTTGAGGAATTTAAAGATTTTTCAAAATCTTGAAAGCCTTTCAGTTGCAAAGTGAATTGCTAAATGGACTGAAAAAAGTCTAAAACAGTTGTATGATCCAGATTCAGCTTAAAGGTAAATGCACATTTTATGCACATTTTCATTCCCAAATGTCAACAGAGGGCGCTATTTATGTTGCTGTTAGGCTGCAACAACTCGATAATGAAACTTCACAATGGTCAAGTGTGACAAGTATATTTTTTAGTGTCTATCTGTTGTATACCCCTCACAATACTCAGCCAAAACAAATCGGAGAAAAAATATTCCTACGCTTCAGAGAGCTGGTCCATGTTAATCCTTAACCAAGCTGCGATGTCGTCTTTCTGATGTGCAAGCTTGTTCTAGAATATTGTTCCTATATCACCTACGTCATGTATAAATACTTTTTAAATGTAACCGATATTTCTTCCTTGCTCTTGAAAATTAGATGAAAATAACATCACTAACATCTCATTTTGAACTTGGTTATATTTTAGTCCAGTCTTACATCGAGTGCCAGTCCAGAACAGTTTAAAAGTTAAGTTTGCAGTCCACAGGTCTAAAATTAGACTTCAGTGTTGACTTTATCGCGGTTTGATCCTAGACTCCAATATACTTTCCAAAGTCTTTGTAGATGCATGCCGACTGTCCAAGACCATAATAAAACCTTAAAACAACTCAGGAATGCATTCTATATCTACATTAATTTTTGTCACGCGAGCAAGTCAAGTTTTATACAAAAGTAAACAAACTGTTCACTTTTTTAAACTTTTGACCTTAAAAGTTAAAAGTTCGAATGTTACACTGAGTTCTGGTTGTTTCTAGTTATGTACAGTTTTGTTTTATAAAAAAGTTATGAAGTTCATATTTGTTGTACTGAATAAAAAGTTTTGCATTTGTACGAGAACACTAAAAAGAAGTGCATGAGATACACTGTTGTAATAATTTGATAATCTAGATAAAATCCTTTATTCAGCTCCACAACACATTCATACAAACCCATTCATTCAGATTCAGTAAAATCTGTAATTTCTGTTCATAATTTCATTCACGTAATGTTTAGCCAGCTTCTACTCCATAACGTCTCTTAAAGGTTTTCTGCCAGTGTGTAATTTCTCTAACGAATACCAGTTCTTAAGCATCTATCCGCCGTACATCCCATTGCTACAGTATCAAAAAGCCTCAAGTTTAGCTGATGTAGCAAAAGAAAGTTTGTACATAAATGTTAAAAGTATTAGACATGATACTACAAGAATACAAGTCAAAACCTAAAAAAAATAGAACTGATACATCAATAGTTCATTAGTATGCTGTCTATAACAACAACCGCATGATTCCAACCCTAATTAAGCGCAAGTAGAGACCTACACCTCCCGCTAGATTATAAAGGGAATATTATTTCCCTTCAAATTACCATTTTATAAAGACATTTTTCTAAAAAGAATCACCACAGATATCCCCAAAGCAAACTCGGAATATTTAATTTGCTACATTTACCTGATAAATATGAAAATTTAAATAAGACAATTCCATGCAAAGTGTTTTTTTTAGAAGCAATGTTCAAGCAAACCAATATAATGCCACTACAGATTTCTGAGATAGAAAAAAAAATCCCAAATTGAAAAGCAAAATTCTTGTGAAAAGAAAACAGCTTCCTCCAAAAAAAAAAGGCCTGGTAAACTGCTGGGGAGAATCAAATATTTAAGACACACACAACTACTATGACGTTGCTTAACTGTCTATGATGCATTATTTCCTAGATATTCTTAAAAAAAAAAACCCACCTAATTAGCTGTTTTGGAAAGATTTCCATATACGAAGTTCACTCAACACCCTGTGTACAAACCCTATGAGATTGGACTGAAAAATTCTAAGTGTTTTCTAAGAAAATGCTTGTATTTTCTCACTGCTCAAATTGACTTTGATGACATGAAATTGCTATCTGGGGGCTTGTTAGTCAATACAGAGGAAAATTAGTGAACTTCGTATATGGAAATCTTTCCGCTGTTTTTCTCCAAGTGTCATTAAGAAAGGATTGTATTCATACAATTATATTCCTATGGCCTAGACCCTACTGACGTTCAGCCATCTTACATGCAGCGATTTATTCATTATAGTTAAAGTAAAGCCTAGGTAGTTACAATGACATTCACATGAAACATACAGCCAACTTCTACATTTTTGCATATCAGTTATTGTTTTAGACATTTTCATAATCCTCGATCAGATATTGACAGAATGTACATGTACAGCGTTTCCTGAAAAAGTTTAACTTTGATCTGTAAATTTTCGATGAAAGTTTTACTTTTCCTACTGGTGTTTTTAATTACGAATCCCATTCAATCATGCATTGCGTTGATCAGAAAAAAAGATCAGTTGATGAGACAGAATTTTAGGTTACATTTGTCAACAATTTCCACAGTATTATCTCCCAAACCATATTTCCGACCGAAACACCAAAGCTAGGAAAATAGGCTCTCCAGACTTAAGTAACCACATTTTCCACACCGAGGAATCTGTACTAATGACACGATAACATTTCAACATGAACGACTCGAATCATGTACATTTATATATTTTGGAAGTTAGTAATTTCATTGCAACTGTGACATTCCCCACATGCTCAAATCTGTGCTTAAAGGTACAGTCCATCATTTGTAATTTGTGCATTTTTGTTCGTTTGAAGCAACAAACATGCTCAAAATCTAAAGAAGGGTGCTGAACAACTAACTTGATGAAGTTTTAGCTCAGCTTCAGCTGTATATTTTGAGATGAACAACATTCTAGGATCTTGATTTCAAATCAAAAGTTGCTGAGTCTGAGTTTTGAATTGGGTCTGAATTCAGGGTCCGAGACATGTTCTCACTGAGCCGATTGCAGCTACGCGATGTCGCGCACTGATCTGACGACTTAAAGCAACCGTGCGCGTGTGTGCGTCGTGTCAACGTTTGCACCCACTTCGCCAAATAAGAAAACAAGCTACTAATGCCTTCTTTGGTTGGACTTCTTCAAAATGACAGCTTGCTAGAAAGAATAATTTCACTGGGAGTTTATTCCCCTTACTATCTTTCAACCGAGTATGTTTTTCAACACCAATTACGTCAGTTACTTTTTGGATAGCTGCAAATGATGGACTGTAGCTTTAACTCTGTGGTATCGTGAAGCAGTCTGTTTTGCCTTTTTTTTGGTCTGGGTTTTTTAGTTTCAAAGGGACAAACTTGGTTCATAAATTTTGGAAACCATGAGTAGTGAATACTTAAGCCAAATAGAGATCTACATGCAAAAACATGGTAATTAATGTCGTGAAACATGCTGATGAAGACATCATTCATCAAGACCATGAAATTGAGCCGGGCATCTTGTGTAGTGGACAGTGCTGTATCCAGTAGGAGGGAAAAACCGCAATTCTTGTGATACATACATGTAATATACAATTATTGACTGCGGACATGTTTTGTACACCACGTCGAGAGACGTACAGCACCCAAGGGGAAGGCGGTAAAAAACACATGTCCCACATCACAGCAGTCAACAATTGTTTTGTTACATGTATATCGTGCCAATATGTCGAAAAGAAAAACTTTTTAACCTACTATGCAAGAAATATTTCACACATGTAAAATCACGGTTGGTACATGTATGTAGTATAACCTTTTTGAAAACGGTGAGCTTTCCAGCCAGATACGAGATTGAGAGATCGCAGTTATCCATTGTGAGGCACAAAGGCACCCTTCACACGTAGTAAGGTAGTGCATACGAGATAACTTGTATGCAATGCAGTTTATGTGTTAATCATTATGCAACGCAGTGTATTTGAAGTAAAGTCATTTTTACAGACTGGACTCATGGCAGTTCTGGATCAATAAAATTACGGTATCCAAGACACAGTATCGCAACCAAATTTTACTCCTTCCCCCAACCCAACAAATTCCTTGATGTACCACTGTGTGATAACCTTTTGATTTCATTTTACTTGTTTGGCCAAACTGAATTGATCAAGTTAAAAAAAATTGGCTCTGAAATGATTTTCTCATACCAAGATTGTCGTTTTAGACTAAGCCTGATCTGGGAACACTATCTTACAAATGTAATGAGAAATAATGTTATTAAGAATATATCTGTTATTGGTCATTTAATTTTTTACATTTTCACGCTCTGATGGTGCCCCTGGCTTTCTGTAATTAGCAAAAGGCATCTGTTCATTTCTTTGGTTAATCTGTTTGCGTGTAGTGGGAGCAGCAAGGAGACACTGTAACTGGTATCCTGTCCACCAACATGACCTGGTTCCCTGCATCAATTCCCGGCAATGTAGAAGCGGTAGAGGAGCGCAACCCCGAGAGCAACGATAGTCGGAATGATCCACTGGGCCCAATTACTGCGAGAGAGAATTAAAAAAAGAAGAAACTTTAAACTTCAGTGAAACTTTTCTTGGAGGGGTGCCCACTGCCTCAATCCTGCAAAAAAAAAACCCAGCAATCACTGTCAATAAGTTAAGACAGAGCCAGTGTCATCCTGGAGCAGTACGGAGGAAAATCTCTGCCTAAATTTATGCACGGCTGATCATAAACAACACCAGATCTGGCCAAAGACCTTGACACAAGTGCCTTCTCCAAAATCAGCCACGTGCTTTTGCCATATAGTGTCAATCCTGCAAAATCCTAAATTTTTCAGAGGATTTTGGAGGATTTGGGAAGGTTAGGGTTAATAAAGACATTACATGTTCTCTGTCACTGTTCATTCCCTGTTACTTTTGTACTGACCTGAGACTTAACTTGTGACTGACTTGCGATCGCCTTGTGACTGAGTGATTACAATTAATGACTGATTACAACTCATGTGTTCAATAGCCAATGGCTGTGGCTCTTGGATGCATTTACCATTGGTTTCACCAATATTCAGATGAACTACCATCGGTTTGACTGATACATTGGCCTGAAAATGCGACTTGAAATTGAAAAGGTTTGACGATACGCATTTCCGCACAGTGTTAATGCATAGAGGTTCCCTGTGTCCTTTGACTAGTATGCTGCCCTCAAGAGTATGGCCAATTATTACAAGCCAACGGCACAATCCATCAAATGGCTAATATTTATTTCATTAAAGAGGGGAAGGGGAATGAAGCAATGGACAACTTCACGACCATTATTTCATAAGGTTATCTTGGTGGGACAAAATCGGAATAACTGCCCACATGGACAAGAATAGGAAGAAACAAATCTATTAAACAGCAATTTTGAGACAAAATAGACACAACAGAAGAGTGCTTATTTGAGTGGGTAAATTTGTTTAAATACACTGTTTTTTAATCCACTCAAAACAGAAGTAAGCACTCTTCCATTGTGTCTGTCCACCATACAAACAAAGGCCAATTTGGGCATTGGTGACTAAATATGACATCTGCTATGTTTCATGCAATGAATCTGGGAAATAAAAGTAAATGGGCAATTTTTCTTCACGTATTTGGAGCATAAAGAACTGAAACCATGCAGTCAAACACCTCCGAGTTGTTATCCTTCTCTTGAATTTTGTGTCAAAAATACATTCAATTAACTTGTCTTTTTTTTCAATGACAAACTTAATCTTTGAATAAAATTGTTCAGGTTTGTTTCAATCTTTCCCCAAAAGTCTTTGTAGCAAATTAAACCACACAGACTGGTGCCTGCATCATAGTCACCAGATTCATGGTAACAAAGACTAAGGTTTCAGGGAACTAGACAGAGGGGACAACAGTAAAGCACAGCCTCAAAACACTTTGGCCGTGGAATTAAGATTCAGTTTTTATGCCATCAGCCATCACACTGCACATCAGTTTGCAGGTTGTATTTAGGGCACAACAAAAAAAAAAAAAAAAAATAGTTCTGCTTCCGATTACATGGCATTTGAAAAAAGGGTAGGTAGGTAGGGAAATAATTTTTATTTTGCCAATTTTTTTTGTGTACGATCATATGGAGGCATCTGCGGGTAGTCAAGGGTAAAAGGTAGAAATTGATGGTTTTGGATTTTTTTCCTCATTTTTCCAATAAAAAAAATTAGGGTAGGGGCTGTCAGAATAGGGTAGGTAGGGAAACCGGAAGCAGAACTACTATTTTTTTTTTGGCCTTAATAGTTAGTTCAACCAATAGTTAGCTCAACCACTTTGAAAGGTTCACATTGATATCAGGATTAATAGAGCAAAACAAATAAGTAAATACAAAAACTGCGGTCGGAAATAATGGCAAAAGCAGATGCATTACTTGCAAGCACTATTCTACAGACAGGTCTGGAAACCAAACTCAAACGAGAAAATACACTTGTGTTTAAGACTCAGTAAACAACAAACTGAACTATAACACTGTTCACATACATTATCAGAACTCATTGAGTAAACATATTTTCACTGAAAAATACTATGTACAGTGAAACGCTGCTTATACCGAAAATAACAGTAAACCGAACATTCGGCTATACCGAACATCGTACTTGGCTCCCGATCTTGTGTACAACACGTACCGATATAAATCGCTATACCGAACGAATGCAATTACGAACAATTTCCTTGGATCCCGCTATGTTCGTTGTGACGGCGTTCCACTGTATATCAAAGCACAGTAAATTGGGAACATTTTGTTTGGGGCTGGGGAAGTTGGAGTGGAGGGGGGGGGGGGGGACTCGTGGAGTATGGTTTGGTGGAGAAAACAAAGTACAGAGACTGGATGCTGTTTGTGGAAATAAAATTTCTCAACGTAACATATATGTCAAATCAGTCCTTCGTAGGCAAAGTTTTCTCAGTATGTCATTAATGCCATTGTTGAAGAAATTGCAAAAGATTCTAAGGTAGGACAACTTCAACAGAACATTTCAACAAAGACAACAGCAAGAATGAAAAAAGAACAAAACTGAAGAAAAAAAAAATCATTTAAGGACGGACTCACATGAGGTATCCCTGTGCGACCTGGACTGAGACTAAGACAGAGCACAGCGACTGGCACAAAAAATGAAAGTCAAAAATATAACGAGGAGTCAAAATTTGGGAAACTCGGATGTAAGAGAGGAAGAGTTAGTGTGTTAGAATAGCAGAATGAGGCATTAATGATCTCAACGGTTAGCGTATGGAGAGTTGGACCCCTGTTAGCCTTTCGCCCAGGCCATCGTGGCTCAGAGCGGCGGAGTTGCGAAGAACCGAAGCGACTGGAGCAAAGATTAAGTCAGCACGCACGAGTGGCAAAGCCACGAGGCCTTTCCCAACTTGATTTTGTTGAATTATTCATAGTTTTTATGCAAATAAGAAGAGTGCTGAAGGTTAACCAATCACAACGCGGATTTTGCCTAGTCGCTTCCGTTTTTAAAAGGGTGAGTAAGGAAAACGTAAGAGCAAATAACTGTAAGTTCAGATGAAAAATAAGTTCATACACTCAAATAATTTCTTGAAATACTTTTATAAGTAAAATTAAAATAAGATAATGTAAGAACAATTACGCGGTCACGATCTTGCGGAAAACTAGACTCGCATTTTTTGTTTTTAAATTTTGTGCACGCATCCGGGCGCGTCGACGCGTCCGGGTAGTAGCCACGTACGCACTAAAAGACTGATGATTGGTTGGAATTTGCTACCCTTTTGGGGTAGCAAAAATCGAGATTATAAAGAAAAACATAAGAATTTCTCGACAAGTTAGAAAAGGCCCTCGTGGCTTCGCCACTCGCGTGTGTGGTCTCCATCTCCATTCGCTTCGCGGTTTCGCCGCTTTGAATGCGGGCAAGTTAAGCCACGATGGCCTTGGTGAAAGGCTAGACCCCTGTATGCACCAGTCCGATATTTAAATTACAGTTTCAACCACCGGAATACCTATCGCATACATGTGCACTTTGTAAACTCTGAATTAAACACGTCCCTAAAGGTGAGTGCATTGTGGGAAACACTAGAGCACACTTTGGAGCATCCAAGTATTAGTGGAAAGCTGCATAAGTGATCACAAAGAGTGGGCAACTCGGATCAATCTATGGGACTTCGTTTTTTCTTCATAAACCCTGGGCCCAATTTCACGGCGCTGCTAAGCAAAAAATTTGCTTAGCACAAACAAAACCTGGATAAAAAAGCAGATATTAGCCAAAACTCCATGTGATTTTCATGCTATAGCAAACAACAGCTGAATACTAATCACGAGCAATATACATCACAGTTTTTACATCACAGTTTTGGCTGGTAACCTGCTTTTATAAGCCAGACATTTTTTTGTGCTAAGCAAATTTTTGTGCTTAGCAGCGCCGTGAAATTGGTTCCCTGGTCACATCATACAAAGTTGACCAGGCTAAAACCCGTTTGTGGAGTTTATTCTCAAAAACCTAGACATTTTCTTTAGCATTTAAAATTTCCTGGCTCCTCTAAATCTATCGATGTGAAGGAACCAAATGCCACATTCATAATTTTAACATCAAGCTTTTGAAATGTAATGGTAGCTCGACATGGCCTCCAAATTACTAAACCCTGCAAATCCTCTGTGTCTGGGAATGTAACTATACGTAGGTCATGATCAAATCCCCTGAAAATAACATGGCCAGGAAATAACAGGTCTCTGTTTTCACAGACCCTGCTCTGTAAAATTGCTTTATTCCATCTCCGAAGCCAATCATATGATGGATTTCAGTTTCACATTTATTTTGTCTGTTTAAATCAGGCACACGGAAGATGCCATGTTGAGCATCGAGAAAAGACATGCAGCCTTACATTGTATGGAGGTTCAAAAGTGGACATCTGCTTTAGAATAGCAGAAAAGCAGATGGAACGTTTTGTTAAAATGTACTTTTTCTACTTCTGCTACCAGAAAAGCAGGTTTTACTTTTTGCCCTTCACTGGCAGTTCAAAAAGGGACATCTGCTTTTCTGCTACCAGCAAGTACCCTGTAGATTGAACAGACATCTGCTTTTCTGATACCAGCAAGCAGAAAGCCACTTTTGAACCACCATGTCAAAACGTTCAATCTGCATTCTGGTAGCAGCAAAGCAGATGTCCCTTTTTGAACCGCCAGTAAACGGGCAAACAATAAAATCTGCTGCTTTTCTGGTAGCAGAAAAGTAGAAAAAATGTCTTTTAGCAAAACGTTCAATCTGCTTTTCTATAGCAGAAAAGTAGATTTCCACTTATGAACCTGAATACAGCCTTCTGTTGGTCAATTCAAACATATCTACATGTATACCTTGACTTTAACATGTAATGGCACGAATTTCAACCATTTTGGTCACTTTTGGATGTGGCAACAGGGATTTTATGTGATTCTATTCCATTACCAAAATCAGGCAACACAAAAATCAAGGGTGGATCACTGCTTGACCGGGGCTGGTGGAATGATAATAATGTGCATTTATGAAACACACGTATCCACCAGTGTTCGAGTTCAAGTCGCTACATCAGTATTACCCTGCTCACTGGGCCAATGAAACATTCCAAATACCATCTCAGCTCCCTGGGGACAGGCATGAGAATGAATTTCAATGAAAAAAAACCTGGGAACCTTTGCAAAAACAGGAAAAAAGATGTGAAATCTGGCCCCCAAAAAAACCCAAACTGGACCAAAATAAATAAAAACGTGGAAATTTGGGCAACAACCCCCCCCCCAGGAATTCCTGTTTAAAAAGGAAGATTCTCATGCCTATCAGGGAGTATACAGCTGGGCGCTGCCTTTTCGGTGCAAAGCAACTAAAATCAATCACAATTACTAACTCTGCCGTCACAGGTCCCCAGACAGTCCCCAGATATTCTCCAGTCTCCTAGCCCAGTAGTATCATTTGCATTACTGACTCGAAATTAATTTGCGTTACTGTGTGATACAGTATCACTGCAACCAGGGTTGTCTATGAAAGGGTAAAGCTATGAATAGCGGTAGCTTATGTACATGTACGTTCAAAGTATAGGAGGGGGGTTGGGAGTGTTGCACACCAACTACTGCATCTACAAGCAACCATGCAAACCACAACCTTCCCATTCATAAAAATAAATGCATGCTTGCAAATATACACAACGGATGTATTCAGCCACCAGCACATTTGTTATTCATTCTATATGCATGCACCCAGCATAAGTTCTTGTTGTAAAGAAAAGAAAAGCTGCAAGCTCTTTTCAAAGATTGTAAGCTTATAAAACACTCATTAGCATTACAAATAAGTGAAGTGGAACCAAAAGCAGTCTCATGTGTTCTGTAGTGATTTACATGTATCTTGTTGACAAAGAGACAACAAAATATTCAGAATTATATAACCGACATACAGATCCTTGTCATTTGATTGGTGGAGCTCACATCACATGTCATTCGTTATTGCTCCCATTCATGCCACGGCTCAAAAAGTACTATCCGCCCATGGGGAATGGGAAATGCTATTCAACAGTTAGGATCATGACGCGGTATTTGTGTGCAAATGCATGCTAGTGTGCGCGTTCAGCGTTGCGCATAGCGCGTATTGTTCCAAAGAGCCAGCGCTACAGCGTTGGGTTCAAACATTTTCGTGAAGGGGTGGTTTGGAAGAGAGAAATACATTTTCCTCCAGTTTTGTATTGAAATAAAAGTTCAAATATATCAAATGCCAAGGATCTATATGTCGGTTATATAAAACAAATATTGAGTGGCTTTAAATTGTGAAATGTGAGGAATATTATCGCTCGGTAAAATCTTGACTTTTCCAGTTCACTCAGCTTCGCCTCGTACATTTGTGTCCAAACATAAAATCTGTTGTTGAAAAAATGAAGTCAATTTGTACATGTACATGAATTGTTCTTCCATTTTGAATGCAAATTTTTTTGGAAAACAGCACCCTATACCGGTACATGTATAGACTGTGAACAGAGTGTGTACTAAAATCTTCTAAACAGAACAATTCTGTACAGTACATTAGGCCCAAAAAAAAGTCTCCGGTTTCTGGTATGGAGCTTGCCCAAAAAGTGGTGCGGCGATGTGGCTTTTTTTTTTTACCTGGTTTTTTTTTTTGCTTCAAATGTCGGCTGATAACTGCAAATGGTGCCCGACTAAACTTAGTGCAAATATACGGGAGTCCAGAGAGGCCACATAAAGCTTATTCTCGATCATAACCCCATCTAAAAACACGTTAAAATTTTGCAGCAGCAGGATCCAGTCAAACCAGTGAGTTTGGCGGTTTTGAGACATCATCTTTTATTGAAAAACAAAAACTTTTTTATTTTGCCGACGCGCATGGCTACGGCGACACGTGCGCATTCCAGAAACCGGAGACTTTTTTTTTTTGCCTAAGTAGTGAGAGTGGATTTGTATGTTAATGGCACATGTTTTTTCCCAAGAAAACATGATGTTCAACCAAATGAATGTTTAGATTTTCCCCTCATGACACACCATTTGATTTCGCTCTGAAGGATTATTTCTTCTTCCAAAAAGAAATGCCAACACGATAATATCAATGTGCCAAACACTTACGTGAAAAAGACACACTCCGCATGGACAACGGCAACAATTTATCTACGGATCCCAGGTTAAATACAAATATTTCTAAGTCGAAAGTCTAAATATGATTTTTTGTTCATGATTGTTGGTCCCCAATATCATAATATAATGAACACAACTGTACCAAACATTCGGCTATAAACTGAACATCCCCTTGGGTCCCAGATTTTATGTACAATTATAATGAAGAATTTTTGAATTTCTGAAAAATGCATGCATACTGTCTACTTTGTTTCTCAAAAAACACTTCCTAACTACATTGTGATGTCAAAAATGTTCATAAAACTCTCTTTGACGCTTCTGGAAAGTGGTTCCCAAATGAAAATAAAAATACAGTCCAACATCAGAAATGTCACATTGAGGTGCATTCTACATGCTTGTGAAAGCTCAAACTTGACCCTACTATCACATTTTGTCTGAATAATTTTGTGACTATTGTTGATGCCCCTTAACGTGGCTCGGCCCCTAACATGGGGCACTTTAATTTTTTGCCTCTAGTGCCTTGCTAGAGCAATAGTTTTGCCTAGTATTTCACAGTACCTGTACATGTAAGTGAAATTTCATCGAGCTCTAAACATTCCCGTTCATAAATCTTGAGTTTATCTACCTGTTACAAAGTTAACAGAGAAATTTTACTTTGGCATGATTTTCCGATTTGAACCCTTTAAAAAATGCGCCAAAAATTAGAGAAAAAAAGCATTCTGACAAACAAGTAGTTGGGTATGTGAGTGGAGATAATAATGATTTATCAGAATTTGTCAACTTAACAAATTCTTCAATGTTAACTTGGGATTTTATTTTTTTTTGTTGAAGTGCACCACATTAGGGAATACTTGCCCGATTTTGTGCCAAATTTGTAGACACCACCGTTTTTTAATTTCGGACTTATTTTCATGGCACTGAAATTGTTAGCAGGTGATTCAATAGTAAGCATTATTAAAGTAATAGTGTCAGTATTTAACTGAATGAATTTGAAGTGTGTCAACAAAGACGTTTGGCAACACTGCAGGAGCAAAATTGAGGGAAACGTCACAGTGCACCACGTTAGGGGACTCCACTTTACTTTCATTTATAGGCCATCAGCCTCGGTCCAAAATTTTGGCCACCGGTATCAAATGAGGGGAATAATCGTCATAGCGATTTTTGGCAAGATAAACACCTCCAGAGTTGGAACATATATGATAGCATTGCAGCGGTGGCAACCTTTTGGGTGTTATCACCCTTTTTTCCCCCAAAATGTCCATCAAAATGCTTGTTACCACTCTAGAGGCGGTATACCTTGCGCATGCGCACTATAATCATTTACGCCCTGATTTGATGCTGGCGTAACCCCCAGGCTGATGGCCTATCACTGGGTATGGAAGTTGCTGCCATCTTATCTGTTTTGTTACAACATTGATCAATTGTTCAATGTCATCAAAGCAACTACTGTGGTACCTGCCTACATGTATTATTAAGTAGCTGCATGCAGGTTGGGTTGGACTAGAGTACTGTGAATCATGCAATAAGATAGACAGGTCTGATACCATCGAGAGTCCACTTCACTGTTTTCATTATCACTTTGAGAACTGGAAAGAACATACCAGCAGAAAAGGTTCAAAAGGAACAAACACAAACATAAAGGAAGCAAGGAGTTTGCACATGCATTAAGAGTAATGGTATACAATGTCTGAACGTGGGGTATTAATGTCACAGTGAAGCAATACTGCATACAATGGTCGGAGTCTTGTTACCAGACTCTACTCCAATGACAAGTTACTACATTAATAATATCAATTTAAAGGATGCACCCCTGTATTAAAATTCCCATAGACACCAGTGCTAAATCCCCATACTTCAAAATTCTTTTAAAACTCTCACAGGTATTTGAGCTGCACAGAAAAAAGATGCTCAACATGTCATCTTTCATATTCTTTTCAATTTTTGGTGGAGTTGACCATTGACTTTTCGAGAAATTCTCACCCAAAGAAGACGACCCCTATTTTCCCCAAAGCGGAAAAGTAGCCATCTTGAAAAACGATCCCTCCACAACATGGCAAAATAGCACCACTTTCGAGCCCAATTGCATACAAAATGCTCAGAATTGGAAGCCCCAAGTCCAGGCCAGAGGTTCATTGCCATATCTCTTCATTTCTTTAATTGTATGGCTCTCAGAACTCTCTTTTATAGAATATTTTGAGGGTATAACGTTTATTCATGGGCTCAGCGGATGGGTTTAGGGATACATGTACATACAGGTGTGCACACTGAGACATTCAGCAGTCATCCATACATATGCTATGCATGTACAGTCTGATCATGTGTTGAGGGTAAAACAGCCCACACATCACAGTTACACCAAGGAATCACTGAGCTCCATATAAACTCTGGATACCCCATAGGCCAGGCTCCATTCCATGGGTGCGTGCGCGTTCTTTCACTAACCCCTGGCTGTGAGGAATACGTCAATGACGCTGACCGGCTATTCAGAGTGAACTGCGCACGTATTTCGAAGACTGCACGCCCTATTATACACGATACCCCCTGCAGGTCATGTCACGTACGAACACTTTTTTTATGCCTGAACAATACGAATAAGCCTTTTCGGAGTTCCAACTGCGCGCATTCGTACATTGTTTGTCTCCAATGCCCTTTGACAGTACCCACAATGCACAAACAGCCTTTTTGTAAAGTCAGTGGCGAGATGTTGTCCGAAGGCCATTTGAGACAAACAATGCGCGTTGTCACAGGTTACGAATGCGCAGTTGGAACTCCGAAAAGGCTTATTCTGAGAGCCTTGTTTTTTGCCTAAAAACTCTGTGTCTGGTGTTGTAAAGGAAAAACGACAGAGGTACGTATACTGTACTTAGGGTAAATCAAACAAGAACTTGCAAGAAAATGCTTCTACTTTTGCCATTATCTTGATAAGGGTTACACCTACCACAACCAAATAAAATACTTTTTTTTTTAGAAACTTGAAATGCTTCACCAACCTTCCTGATCCTGCATCAGGTGCATTTGGTCCTGTGTTTGTCTGTTGAAAAAAAAAACAACCACCCAAAAACATTTGAAAACTTAAGATTTCTTTCAAGCAAAGTCAGTGTACACACCTAGTCATTCACAAAACAAAACAGAACACACACAAAAAATTACAAACAATTGAGGGTGTGTCAATTTTGAGGTACATTTAACATGCATTATTATTATTAACAAAGTTAGAATTTGAATATTCCTGAACAGAGTGATACACATGGCCATGTGTATCACTCTGTTAAGCATTAACCCTACTATATGTTCATTTGAGTGGTGAACACTGCCTCAATCCTTCCAGACTTGTACATGTATGACTCGTGACTAGGACTTGGACCCCAGTCACGATGACATATGACTCAGACTCTGACTCTGACTCGAACCTGCGGGCTTGGACTTGGACTCGGCCTACTGGACTCGGGACTCCACCAAAATAGTTTTGGTAAATTTTTGGTCAAATATTTTTGGTCAATTTTCGGGGACAGACAGACAGACAGACAGACCGACCGACCAACAAGTGACATGCAAAAGCTCCTGCAAGAGCTTAAGAAGTTTTACAATTCTTTGTGATTGACACATTTCACAAAAGCCTGACGATTCAGCAAACCTGAGAACCATGACACTGAAAAAAAATGGGGGTACATGAAGCACACACACACAATGTGGCAAAAAAACACGATCATTGCCCAACCTTCAAACAATCAAGAGGGGAAAAAGATAGGTACAAAAAAAGTTTTAGTTCATTCACCCCAATCGCTGTCTGTAAAAGGTCATGCTCGTCTTCAAACTGTTGAGATTTCTAGCTGTTATCCTTATCTACTGGCCCTTGATCAGAGAACACGTGGACTATGGACCTTGCACATAACCTGTCTAAAAGTGGATTGAGAAGACTATAATGTAGTCTATATTTACATTGTACACGTAGAAAGAACGCTTCTATCTGCTTTTGTAAGAACTGAGAAAGGTTTCCAGAATTTTCTCTGAGAACAAATCAACAGGACGGGTGTTTTTCAATAAATATAGCATCTGCTCCTTACCTTTACTGAAGTTTCCCAATCAGCCTGTTATGAAAAGCAAGAAAAGAACAAATATGAAATGATCATTTAAAACTTAAACAGTGAAATCATCAACAGAAACTGCTAACAGAACTTAAAAATGGTTTTCTGAACACACTGAGCACGACAAATGAGATAATTCTTTGTTACATGTATTCTCAGTTTACATAAATGAATAACCCCTGGATAAAAAAAAATGTTTTACTTAATTACCAAGAAAAACCTAATTTTCTAAAGTCGTCCACATAATATTTCTCCCTCTCTGGCTGACAAATTCAGCTACACAATCACAACAGTCAAAATCAACAAAGTGACAATTTGAACAGTTTAAAACTCCCCCGTTAATTCAATATAGCCATGCTTTGAAAAATCAAGCACTTTCAATCTCGGGCAGTGCTCCGTGGATGGGTCGTGTATGGCTGGCTGCCAACGGCGCCTTTACATGCCTGTGGCTCGACCACATTGTAGCCGTGTCCTTTGCAAAATTTCAGCTTCTCATCTATGACTGAGGATGATTAGCCTCCCAAATTATTATTATTATCATAATTATTTGACTGGGGATCGATAAGCCAGCTGTTCCTTCCAGTTACCTCTTTTGTCTGTTGACAGGATTTAATTAGACACAGTGTTTACACAAATGTAATTTGACTGTTTTTTACTAGTCTGTATGTACATGTACATGTACATGTATGCATGGCAGGGGAAGTGGAAGAACTTTTTGACTGTCTGTGGCTGATCAAACAACACAAGGGGTTCATTAATCAATTTAAACAGTCACAGACAGTTAAAATTTCCATCCACTTCCCCTCCTATATTTTACACAAGCTAGTCACCAGCAGTTAGTTCATATGTCAAGCAAGCACTGTGACTAGTCAAACTCAGTCAGCAGACAAAAACGGGCAAGTTGTGGGCAGGGTTGGCTTATCGACTACCCACAGTCAAAGCAAAGCTGTATCAAGTTACATGTACATAAACAGTCACGGCCAGTCAATCTTCCTTTATGTAGGCTGTGAGTTCTTAACGGCTGAATTAAACAGTCACTTGCTTGATTTTGACTGAAAGGACTACTTGGCACAGAATGTATGTTTGCATAGATGGGGTTAAAGAAAAAACACCAATATTACAATAATGATAAAATGTTGCGAAATTTTAACTTTTAGTTTAAATTTTCAATTTTGTATTTTCTATGTGCATTCTTTGAGGGAGGGTCAAAACAGACAGGACATGGTACAAGTCAAACAGCCTTCCCAACTAAGTGTGAAATGGGAGGCATATCAACAACGAGAAAACAATCAATGAACAGCAAAATAAGGAATCATCTAAGTTACACTACATTTGGCTATGGGGACTCGGCCTCTTCAAAATACACATTTGTTCTTGCCGGACATAATTCAGACGTGGATTTACTCTTAGAAAAAAAAAGTTGTTCACCTCTGCCAGATCACCGATGAGATAATCCTGCATGAGTTCCCTGGCGTCTGATGAGTGGCCTACATCTTCAAATGACTCTGTGGCATTCGATCCTTCAAAGCAATAAACACAGAAAACAAGACGCAATGTACATAAAATTACGTGTAAATCTAGGGGCGAGATTGGGGGAAATGACAACTCCACGAAATAATCGGCAGAGGGTTTTGGGGCTGCTGTTGGCCCAGAGCAACAGTGGGTCTATGCTTGTATTATTTTGTCTAAAGGTACCCTTTAAAATACCTATTTCTTTTTTTTCTACTGAAATATGTATAGGTACAGTGACCGGATAAGGTAAAATGTAACAAATTCATCGATTGGGCTAAAAACATGCTTTTTATTTTGCTCTTTATATTTTGTTATTGAGTCTTGCTTTTCTTGCTGTAATTTTTATAAAACCAGTAGGCCTTATGTTTTATTCATTTCTGTGAAACAAAAAAATCATTCAAAATAATATTCAGTTTATGGTCTGTTACATATTATGTACAATTTTCTCCCCAACCCACCCCCCCCCCAAAAAAAACCCCCCACTATAAACAAGAATTAATCACAGAGCCTCTCAGCCTGGATTTGTGGTTCATCTTCCAACTCTTCAATCCTTAATGACAAGCATGGAGACTTATTACAGTTGTGCCGTATCAGGGATCACTACTTCTCTGAAATAAATGAATGTCCAAACATAAAATGCCCAGGACAGTGGTCAATATTAAGGATTCACAGGACCGTTTACATTTTTCTTTTTACGTAAAGACTGCAGGAACAAAAGCACTCAAAATCTAAAGCAGAATATAAAAAGAAGGAAAATTTTGTTAAATGGGCCATGAATAAATTTTAGTTTTCAAGAAAACAGCGTTAACTTACAGTGCATTTTGTCTTAATATGAACCCTGGAAGGTTTTAGCAGAAATCATAAATTTAAAGAAGTTCATGTGACATCTTTTTAAATATGATACCATTACATTTGTATTGTTTTTCTTTAAATTAATCTCTTATATGAATATTCACTTCTTCAATATCCAGCACTATGGCATAGCTGTGGCAAATTATACGGTTGAAGTGCGATGTCTTTATATTAAATCTGACACTACCGGTGCGTACAGTACGTACATGTAGAACACAGTGCAGTCGTTCACACTGCCCAAAGACCATTAATTTTGTGGTAAGTTCACGTGTTTAAAGGCATAGGGTCATCTGCTTTTCAATTTCATGCATTTTCATGATTTTGTTCGTTTCCAATAATAACATGCCTCAATATCCATTCATGTTCAAAACCCAACCTGTTGAAGTTTCAGCTCAGTACATGTAGGTACAATGTACATGTATTACACTTTTTGAGAAAACAGAGAAAAACAATGCACAAACCTTTTGATCACGAAACATGACTTTGTGTACATGCACAGTATAACTCTTTATTTCCAAAAATCAGTCAATTGACTGATCGTTGGAAATCACACACATTTCTTGATTTCTTCTAATGACAGTAAGCCAGACGGAATAATGTCACGGGGTGTTTAGTACCAGTATGATCTTTAATCCATTCAAGTAAGCTTTTTGATAATAACTTGGTTGGTTGCTTTTGGGATAAATGCAAAGATCATGTACATGTATGTCATACATGTTTTGCCTTTAAAACTGAAATAGTGTGGTGTATTTTAATGACATCATGTTAAGACATGGTAACATGGTACTTTGTATCAGTTCATTCTTTACTCCAGGTAGTCTTTCTTGGCAATTCAATAAAATCCATGTGGGTAGCATAAACACACACTGAAATACAGGCACCTGCATACATTCTCTGTACAAAGCTACAGACCTATAGGCCTATGTATACGTACATACTTCACATTACGCAGGAAACCCATATACCCACTTAAGAACTGTATTTCATATATTTTAAGGATTTAATGATAGTAGGAAACCCGCTGGGTGGTACACAATAAAAAAAAAACACTCACATTAATGACTGTTGGTTATCAATATCATGATAAAAGGTCAAATCCTGATAAGTACTACATGTACATACACACGTACACATGTGTAGGCCCTATACATGTAATTCTATACAGAAGGATTACATGGATTGACTGATCATTTTCAGAGTTACAGCCTGTTCATATTTAAACCCTCCAAATACAGTAGCTCATGATAAATTAAGCAAAAAATATATTAAATAGTATCATAATACAATCACAATGTACGTGTATAAATGGTTGCCTGCTTGTACAATTACAAAATCGATTTATGTACGATAACAATTATTTTTGTTATTTTTGTTATAAAAAAGGGTGTGCATGTCACGTTATCTGTTCTCTTAAAGAAAATTGACATCACACGATCTGTGTTCAGTTTTTGTTACGCATTTCTAAATGTAACTGGCTCTTTGTCTACATGTACATGTAATTGCCAGGCACAATTATTGAGATGAAAACAGCTAAACCCCTTAGGTATTATTATATAAACTCTTGCTAAATCGCGCATGGTTAACAATGGTTAAAGGTATACGACATTTGCTTTTGCTTTTTTTTTCCAGAAATGGATGGAGTTAGGGATTAGTATTTTATGGCAAATATTTTTACACTGACCTGTTTAAAGTTTTGTGTTCAACATGAACAAGCTGGAAAAATCAATAAAAAAATGCTGTCCTTGTTTGTAGCCTGGTTTTCTGATCCTACACTTCAGACGAAACAGAGCAATTTATAGACGTAGGGGAATTGTCAGGTCAGGGAACCAGACTGGCTGGTTCACGGGTGTGTAACCGATTGCAAACAAAATGTGGACTAACTGAACTTGGTAAATTGATCGCCGTTTGAGAGTTGGCCACGCCCCTTAGACAACCCTGTGGAATTTTTGTACGCTAAGCTTTGTTTGTCTCGTATGCTGCGCGTTCCGCGTCCATTGTATAATTTGTAATTGAACAATATTTCACAGGCTGCGTTGTTGCGATTCTAACGCGATTCTACCACGATAGGTCAATTGGGGGCAATGTTTGAAAAAAAAAAATCATTTTTTTTCCAACGATGGTCGGCAGACCATTGATGGATGGATTTAGATGGACTTGGTCCAGTTCTTAGTGAAAGACACTAGGGGAGTTAGGGTTAAATACTTGCCGATATGTGACCTGTTCTGTCAAAAGCAGACGCTTCTGGGCAGAGGTTGAAATTGAGATAGGGCCAAAAAACGCTGTGGGGGGGGGGGGGTATTTTTTTCCATTTTCTAATTTTTGCATATTTGTAATTCCGAGCATGTCTAAAATATACTATAAAAGTTTGAAACCCTAATTTGATCTCTAATTATAGTATTTTTGATGATTTGTTAAGGTATATCAGTTAAAGAAATGTCTGTTTCGTGACGTTCGTGTCCATTTTCTCTGTTTTCTACTTTTCGACCCAATGAACTTCAAATAGCATAACTTTGCGCAGGAATGACCGGTTTCAAAAATTAAACCACCTATTAAAAGGAAACAGAACATATTTTAACAATATGCAAAAATCTCATTTTTGACCTAATGCCCAGAAAAGTCTGATTTTGACAGAACAGGTCACATATGCCTTCAAGAGAATTTGAGTGCTAATGTGTAAATGCTTTTTTTCTGTGGGGGAAACGTACAGGGAGGCTATCAAGGACCTTCACAACAACTGTACGTACGTCTCCGACAAAATGTTAAAATGGGCCTGATTCTTAAAACTGTTTTAGGGCGCTGTCTGGATATCAAAAGATGCAAGACCACTGGTTTAGTATTATGAGCAATGACTTACCTCCTTGTTCAAGAAGCACCTCTTCACCTCCAGGATGCTGAAAATATAAAGAAAAAAAGATGTAAAGTCTACTTTAAATATTATCCTAAACTTCCTTGGCATTTTTGATGTGGATCTTGCCAAATGAACCAAAATCAAAACAACCAGTCCAAAACAATTTTTTGGGGCCAAATCAAGATTGAGGTACATTTATATTCTCTCTGGTTTTGGGTTGTGTGTTTCTATTATTCAGCATTTTTGATTTTTGTTTTTTTGAAGTCTGTGTCCTATTCTTTTGTTTATGCAGTGATGGCCAACTAAACTTTACCGACCACTGGTTGAAAAAAACTATGACTGCCGTATGTGAGGCCTACTCAACCATACTGACACAGTTGTGACAGTTGCTACCTGAAGCTGGGATGCATCAGGGACATGCCTGATAGAAATAGGCAAACAAAAAATTCTGCTTCCCATTACATGGCATTTGAAAATAGGGTACATGTAGGTAGGTAGGGATTTTTTTTGGGCATTTTTGGTGTTGATCATACATGTATGTATGAACATACACATTAACCCTAACTCCCTAGGCCATTTTGCTAGGATGTAGCCTCAATCCTGCAAAATCCTCCCATTGGCCTCATGGAAAAATAGCATATAGCCTCAATCCTGCAAATTCCTCCGCTATTTCTTGAATATGGTCCATGGAGGGGTGACCACTGCCTGAATCCTGCAAAATCCTCCGGCTATGACTGTCAATAGGCTGAGGCAGAGGCAGTGACATCCTGGAGCAGTGCGGAGGGTGTCAAGTATAATCAAGGACTAAATTTATGCACGGCTGAGCATAAACAACACAAGGTCCGGCCCAAGACCTTGACACAGTGCGTACTCCGAAATCAGCAACGCACTTTGGCCATGTAACCTCAATCCTGCAAATTCCTCCAATTTGCAAAAAGGATTTTGGAGGATTCAGGGCGGTTAGGGTTAATTATGTTGTTGTCTATATTCACTCATTCCTACAGTTATCACAGTACATACATTTGATTACTTAATCATTTTTTTTTTTACATTGAAACAAATGTGCATGTTATAGGATGAGATAAATTGACAAGTCAAAACTGTCCAGATTTAAACAGAAAAATATACTGTTAATAAATGTTTTGAAGTTTGCTTTGCCACTTCTCCATATTGATGAACATGGTAATTCTTTCAATGAACCAATTCGTCCCCAAAATAAAAAAATTTAAAAAAAATTCAAGAGCTCCTAAAATTGAAACACCCTTTTCTGGAGGTGTGCCAACCCAATTTAAAAGACTGTCAGTTTAGGGTACTGTACCCAACCCGACAGATTCCAACAAAACATGCTGTTGAGGTTTAATGAGTTGAGTAGGGGAGATGGGGGTTAGTTGGAACACGGGGTTAGTTGAAACAATGAATTTTTCTTGATCATCTTAATTAAATTTTATAAAATGTTGCCCTCAAGAGATGTCCCTTAGCAACAGCCATCCACCATATTGCCTGCAGCAACACTGCAACAATAGTGCTCAAGTGGGAAAGATAAGTTTGTTTTTTCACCTTTTGAGTAATTTTTTCACCATTCAAAAAATGTGTACTTTCTTAATGATGTTTATAGATAACAGTGACTAGTTTGGGGGTATTATATGCTCCAGTACTAAGCTACAAAATAAGGTTAAAAAGATATGTTATTGGAGCCCCTGTTTTGTAGAGTGAGCAAACAAATGTCACATGGGCCACTGGGGCTAGTTGGAACATTTTGATGGGGGCTAGTTGGAACATAATGATGATAATTGAGGAAATATTCTGACTTGGCAAACAATTTTAAAAGCACATAGACAGGTCACGTTGACCTTACCTCAATTTTATGCAAGCTTTTCATGTTATTTTTGGGGAGTTAAATTTCCCGTTTGGATGTTTTCTTTTTATGATCAGGCTTGTAGCTGACTCTTGCCTCGCAATTTTCCTGTGGTTTTTTTGTCTTGGTGCTGTTTGTGCCATTTCTTGCCAGTTTGTAAATTTAAAAAAATGTTAGAAGCATCACCAGTGCTTGGAACAATTATTTTACTTGAAACTCAAATATAAATGCAGTTTTTAAGTAATTGTAGTATACTTTCAGATTAACAGCATACCAAGTTCCAACTTACCCCATACCATGTTCCAACTAACCCCATAGAAGGGGTTAGTTGGAACGCATGTCCTAGTTGTGATCAAGATGGATTTTTTAAATAACCATCAACAATTCTGTGAATTTTATATGCTACATTTGCAACACACATGTGTATGAATAAATTGGCATAGTTGTTGTTTCTTGAAGAAAACCTGTTTGTGTTATGGATAGGTTTTTGTGAAAATCGTTCCAACTAACCCCCGTCTCCCCTACTGTTACTGTTAGGGTTCATGAGCAAAACTGTAGCCTACTAATTTGCATAGCTGCAACTGAAAAATGTGTAAGAAAATAGCATTTTCTACTAGACGCTGTGCAAATCACCAAAAAAATAGTGTCATTAGAATTAAGAGAAGTCTGCTTTTCCGAGATATTCTTGAATTTTTCTGGAGCCCATATGCACTCGTAAAACGTCTGGTGATGGCAGCCATTTTGAAAGTGTCAAGAGATGACCTCAAGCTGTGACGTCACGTTTATGCAAATTGCTTGTCGAGCAAGTTGCAAATACGACGGCCGTTTCCTGTACCACGCATTTATCGTCTGGGGGCCACGTGCACTGATCTCTATTCAGATCCACGGCAAAGGAAACAGCCGTCGTATTTGCAACTCGCTCGACAATCAATTTGCATAAACGCGACGTCACAGCTTGAGGTCATCTCTTGACACATTCAAAATGGCTGCCATCACCAGACGTTTTACGAGTGCATATGGGCTCCAGAAAAATTCAAGAATATCTCGGAAAATTGAACATCATTACACCTAAGCATCCCAGAAGTGATAGATGAGACATCATTGAATACAACCATAAGAAAGTAAGAAACTGATAATGTAAGAAACTGAGCGTAATTTTTTTGAAAATTTCGTCCTCAGTAGCACGCGGTACCACGGTGTGTGGCCAGAGGTTCAGCGCAGCATACCGCGGCCACACTAGCAGACTAGTGGGGCTATTCTTGACTCTCCTTAAACTAATTATACACAACCGCTGAGTGGCGTCAGGTTGCAACATTCTTTTCTAAAAGAAGACTAAACTTACTTCTGCAATCTAAAGATTGCAGAAGTAAGTTTAGAATAAAATTAAAGGACTGAAAAGAAAAGAGGGACCGTAACTACATTGTACACAATCTCAAAACAGCCAAAGGCATGAAAGGTAGAGCCCTTTACTTTTAGACATGTTAGATACTTACGTCATCCAAGAACTTCGTGACATCGTAGACTTTGTTATGAATTACGATCCATATCGACTGGCTTGTTTTGTGTTGTTTAACATCTTCTAGAGTATATGTTTTTGTCTCTTTTGTCTCTGACATGATTTCTGTTGGTGTTATCCTAAAAAAACCCGGAATATCTACAAACACGCACCAACCTCTGCTACAACCGGTACCGGTAACTTTCGTAAAGTATAGGATTGCATCTACACAATTCACGTAAGCGCTCGCTGCATCATTGCAATTTTTGTATGCAATGCCATTAAAGGGTACCAGGGTAATATCAGTACGTCTGGCTGCCTGACCCCTACGCTTCATCGCCACTACCTTGACATACAAGCCGCGGGCGTTTATAGCGAGAATCCGACTTATGGTTGGTACCCACGGACCATGATAAATTTGCTGGCCAACATAGAGATAATCAGAGCTCTATGGTTATGGCGTGTCAAACGTTGCAATATTCAATATTTTGCAATATATATGTTGGATGTTCAATATGTGTTTGTTATCTTTTACATTTATGTGCGATGTTCAATATAAGTGTGCGATGTTTTTCATTATTTGCGCGATGTTTAATATATTTGTGCGATGTTTTACAATATATGTGCGATGTTCAATATATGTGTGCGATGTTTTACATTTATATGCGATTTTCAATTTTATGTGCGATGCCTTTTTTGACGATATATATGTGCGATGTTTTCAATATTATGTTCGATTTTTTGCATTAAATGTGCGATGTTTTTTCGATACAATTGTGTGTGCTGTTCTACAATGTATTTGCGATATTCTCAAATATGTGAGCAATGTTTCACACACATGTTTGACATTTCGAGCTATTTGTATTCGATGTTTCATCGGTATGTTTGCATTCGATCTTTTGCAATATGCATTTGATATTTCCCTTTTCATCCGATGTTTCTTTAAGAGTCAAAGTCTGGTTACTAGACCGCGAAAGTCTGACTATTTTGCCTAAAGTCAGTGTATGAGACGTCAGGGGATCGCGTAAAGTGATTAGAGCCAGACCTAAACGGTCTTCCATAATATTTGCACTAAGTTTAGTCGGGCACCATTTGCAGTCATCAGCCGACATTTGAAGCCAAAAAAACCAGGTAAAAAAAAAAAAAAACAAGCCGCGTCGCCGCACCACTTTTTGGGCAAGCTCCATACCAGAAACCGGAGACTTTTCTTTTGGCCTAACCTTGCTTTTTTAGTGAAATTTTGCAAAGTTAGATGTTACGAAAATTTCAAATTGAAAGTGGTTAACCTGGCATTTTTTTTTAAAGCGAAAATCGGAAAAAAAATCAAATGTTTCTGGAAAATTGCAGATTGTAAGGGGTTAACCTTGCTTTTTGAATAAGATTGGGGAAAATTAGATGTTCATGAAAAAAATTCAAATTGTAAGGGGTTAACCTTGCATTTGTTTTGCAAAATAGGACACAATCAGAATGATTCTGGAAAATTGCAGATTGTTAGGGCTTAACCTTGTATTTCTAGCAAAATTGGGCAAAAAGAAATGTTTATGAAAAATTTTAAATTGTATACCTTGTATATTTAGTAAAATTTGGCAAAATCAGATTTGTATGAAAAATCTAAGATGGTAAGGGGTTAATCTTGCTTTTTTTAGCAAAATTTGGAGCATATTTTACTAAAATTGGGCGAAATCAGATGCTTCTAAAACATCCAGATGTAAAGTTTCCGCAAAAACAGCTGTTGAAAAGAGCCCAATGTTGAACTTTACTGAGTCTGAGGTCTATCGAGGGGACGATCCTTATTTCAACTCCTGGAGATTCGCTGACAGTCTCTATTTTTCTTTTTAAGAAAGTCGAAATAGCTGAAGAGGGAGGTGAGAATCTATATGTGCCCAGATACAAAGAGTAGAAATCTACGCGTCTGCCTTTTGAAAATACACAATTGCGGTGTTCATTGTTGCGTAATGATCCGCCTAGCACACGACTGTTTTGCACATTAGGCTGTGTTATGCAGCTTCCTAACAAACCAAACACACTGGGCTCATTATATCGACTTGTTTTTACCATTAAGGTAAAGCAAATGGACCCAGTAATCTTCCTGGCGCGTTTGCTCACCTATAAAGACAACTTTTCTCAGTTTAAGGAAAATTCTAAGGTAACGAAATGGCCGAGTGGTTACGATTCGTCGTCCACGGTTAGCGGGGTCCCGGGTTCGAATCCCGCTGGTGTCTTTTTGGTTTTTAACGTATGAGTTCAATTATTCACTATAAGAGATTTAATTTCCCGTCGTACCTTAGCTTAATCGGTAAGCACTGCTGCTGGTACTGTCCGCGAGTTCCAGGTTGGCGCCTTCGTACAGGTTCAGGGCATGTGGTCCACTCGGAGGATCAGGGCTTAGGGGCCGCCCTGTTCCTCCCTTAGCTCTTTGCTTTTACATGGTGCCTGGCCCTCCGGGGTTATATGGATGGATAGGGAAGGAAGTGTGTATTGGTCGGGGACGCCGAGACCCCGGAAGAGAACTAAGGGATCCCTGAAAGCTTGACTAGCACATAACTTTTTGATTTTTTTTTACCCTCTGTCTTAGATACTTTGGTTTAGTTTGATATCTACATCAGCTGCTTGGCAGGTCTACGGGTACTATCAAAATTGAAACAAAGGTGTATGTCATAAATCAATGAATTTTTCATAATTGACTATAATCAAAACGGAGTTTCGTTCGATCAATTTGACTATCATTATATAATGACGCGATTGCCAAATCTTATTGTTCCCAATTTTGCTAAAAAAGCAAGGTTAACCCCTCACAATCTGAAATTTTCCATAAACACCTGATTTTGCCCTATTTTGCTAAAAAATGCAAGGTTAACCACTGACAATTTGAAATTTTTCATAAATATTTAAATTTTCCCAATTTTACTAAAAAAGAAAGGTTAACCCCTTACAATTTGAAATTTTTCATACACATCTGATTTTGCCAAATTTTAATACAAAAGCAAGGTTAACCCCTTACAATCTGAAATTTTCCAGAAAGATCTGATTTTGCCCAATTTCGCTAAAAAATGCAAGGTTCACCCCTTACTATTTGAAATGTTTCATAAACAGAATATTTCACACATAGGGGCCTAAATTATATATTTTTAAATTTAATAGAGACGCATTGATCGTGCTATCATATACCATTCTAATACCATTGCGAATTACTGTATTGTTTGGAATGTTCACAATTAAAGACACGTTATTTAAAAGATGTATAAATAATATTTATATTACAATGTACATCTTTTTTCTTTCCCGGTATAATTTATGGCTTTCTTACGTCAATTGGCAATCGCATCATTATATAATGATAGTCAAATTGATCGAACTAAACTCCGTTTTGATTATAGTCAATTATGAAATATTCATTGATTTATGACATATACCTTTGTTTCAATTTTGAAAGTACCCGTAGACCTGCCGAGCAGCTGATGTAGATATCAAACTAAACCAAAGTATAAAAGATAGAGGGTAAACAAAATCAAAAAGTTATGTGCTAGTCAAGCTTTCAGGGATCGGTCTGAGCCATAACAATGCCCCAGCCGATCCCTTAGTTCTCTTCCGGGGTCTCGGCGTCCCCGACCAATACACACTTCCTTCCCTATCCATCCATATAACCCCGGAGGGCCAGGCACCATGTAAAAGCAAAGAGCTAAGGGAGGAACAGGGCGGCCCCTAAGCCCTGATCCTCCGAGTGGACCACATGCCCTGAACCTGTACGAAGGCGCCAACCTGGAACTCGCGGACAGTACCAGCAGCAGTGCTTACCGATTAAGCTAAGGTACTGTTGGTACTTTACGACGGGAAATTAAATCTCTTATAGTGAATAATTGAACTCATACGTTAAAAACCAAAAAGACACCAGCGGGATTCGAACCCGGGACCCCGCTAACCGTGGACGACGAATCGTAACCACTCGGCCATTTCGTTACCTTAGAATTTTCCTTAAACTGAGAAAAGTTGTCTTTATAGGTGAGCAAACGCGCCAGGAAGATTACTGGGTCCATTTGCTTTACCTTAATGGGTAAAAACAAGTCGATATAATGAGCCCAGTGTGTTTGGTTTGTTAGGAAGCTGCATAACACAGCCTAAGGTGCAAAACAGTCGTGTGCCAGGCGGATCATTACGCTACCATCTTAGATTTTTCATACAAATCTGATTTTGCCAAATTTTACTAAATATACAAGATATACAATTTAAAATTTTTCATAAACATTTCTTTTTGCCCAATTTTGCTAGAAATACAAGGTTAACCCCTTACAATTTGATTTTTTTTCATGAACATCTGATTTTCCCCAATCTTATTCAAAAAGCGAGGTTAACCCCTTTCAATTTGAAATTTTTTGTAACATCTAACTTTGCAAAATTTCACTAAAAAAGCAAGGTTAGGCCCCCCCAAAAAGTCTCCGGTTTCTGGTATGGAGCTTGCCCAAAAAGTGGTGCGGCGACGCAGCTTGCTTTTTTTTTTTTACCTGTTTTTGTTTTGCTTCAAATGTCGGCTGATGACTGCAAATGGTGCCCGACTCAACTTAGTGCAAATATTATGGGAGACCAGAGAGGCCACATAAAGCTTATTCTCGATCATAACCCCATCTAAAAACACGTTAAAATCTTGCAGCAGCAGGATTCCAGTCAAACCAGTGAGTTTGGCGGTTTTGAGACATCATCGTTCATTAAAAATAGAAACTTTTTCATTTTGCTGACGCGCATGGCTACGGCGACGCGCGCGCATACCAGAAACCGGAGACTTTTTTTTGGCCTTAATCCCTTACATCTGAAATTTTTCGGAAACATCTGATTTTGCCCAATTTCGCTAAAATATGCAATGTTCACCCCTTACAATTTGAAATGTTTCAAAAACATCTAACCCCATACAATCTGCAATTTTCCAGAAACATCTGATTTTTCCCGATTTTGCTTTAAAAAATGCAAGGTTAACCCCTTACAATTTGATTTTTTTTTCATAAACATCTAATTTTGCCAAATTTCACATCAGCTTATGCTAACAAATTATCAGGTAACTGGATCATTAAACGGGACAGGTGCACATCGGCCTTGGAGCTCAGACCATGTGTCATGCACTCCTCAATGCAGATGATGCACATAACACTATGGGTAGTACAGGCACAGCTGGGGGTACTGCCCAAACCGTAACAATGATGAACGCATTGCGTATGCTTAAAGAATTACC